TCCAGGTGAGGAAACAATGCAGGAGTTGGGGAGGGAGAATTTAAGCTTGGTTTTGAAGAGCTTTGAACCTGTGGAGAGTTTGGAGGCCAAAGAAACAATACCAATCAAGGCAGGAAGGCTGGGAACTGCATAGGTATGTGTGGACTGACTTTCCTTTCCTCTGTGGTATGTACAGGGATCAGAGAGGGCCTGGGTTTTATTGCTCCATTTCTAACTTGCTGACTCAGATTCCATGGTAGGCAATAGTGCGCTCTGGGAGGCTGGCTGGAGTCCTGAGTTAAGTCCCAGCTCTGTGCAGTGGAGCAAGTCCCTTCTCTCCTTTGGCCTGTGTCCTCACATGTGCCATGAGGGCCAAGTGGTCTTCTGAGGGGCCTGCAGCTCTTACACCTCTGAATACCTGATATCATCTTTTCTGTTATGTTTTCAATTAATGCCCCTTGCACTGGAGGCCCCAGACCTCCCATGAAGAAGCAGGACACAAAATCCATCCTTTTCCTGGAGTTCAGCCCCCGACCAGGAAGTGGGAAAACAGGATTTCCTCTGAGGATGTTCTTTGTGACCCAGACAGTTCCGGTTACAGAAGTGGGGAGGAAGAGATAGGGAGCATCCCCCATGCCTCCAAATACTAAAGCACCTTTTCAGGGGGGGGGGTTATGTTTTATGATTTTTTTCTTTTCTTTTCTTTTCACTCAGACTTGAGCTCCTTAAAAACAGGGAAGGTATAATTCAGAACTGGAGAAAGCCATGCCAGTATCCCTTCAAACAGAAATGATTGCTCAGTCTCTCAGTAGAGAGAACAGAAGTCCCTTTTTCCTTTTCAATTATGAAGTATGTTAAACATAATTTAAAAAGTAGGAAAATCTTTTCCTCACCTCTGCTTGTAGAAATCCTTCAAGATCTTTCTCGGGGCCTACTTACAAAGCTTTCTCTCTCTGGTAGCAAGACTTTCCTTTCTCTGGTCTTTAAAACTACTGTTCAGCCCTATTTCTGGAAACATCATTTCATGCAGTCACAGCATGTCAGAGATCACAGTGGTAACATTTAATTTCAACAACTGGAAAACTAAAGTCCATAATTTGCCCAGTGTCTGAGTTTGGATGAGAGTGATGATAGGAACTCAGTTTTTGCTGACTCCTAATTTGGTGATCTTTCTTTCTTTTTCTTTCTTTCTTTTTTTCTTTTTTTTTTTTTTTTACAATGAAACCCTTTTTTATTTTTCCTTTATCATTTTATTATATTTTCTTTATTTATATCCTATTTTTTATTTTTTAAACTTTTTCCCCTATTTTACCAAAAACTTTGTAAAGAAAAACAGTTGATAACAGTTGCCTACAGCCTCCATAAATATAAAAAGTAAGGGGTATCTTGAGATGAAATGTCCATGAGTTTTCTTTTTTTTTTGTTTGTTTGTTTTAATTAGTTACACATGACAGTACAATGACCTTGACATATCATACATTTGAATCAGATGGGATATAATTTCTCATTTTTCTGAGTATACAGGTTGCAGAATCACATTGGTCATGCATTCACATATATACACACAGTAATAATAATGTCTATTTCATTCTACTATCCTTCCTATCTCCCCAACCCCTCCCCTCCCCTCCCATCACTTTTCTCTACTTAATCTAGGGTAATGCTATTCTTTTTTTTTTTTTACTTGTATCTTTTCTTTCCTATCATTGGCTCCCTGTCCAAAGCCCCCTCCTCCAGCACTTATAACTATTCACATCTCCATGCTTTTGCACAAGCCTTCTCCCTCTATCACAAATATCCATTCTTCCCCCTTTTCCTATTGTTCCTGATTCTGTAAAAAAAAAAAAAGTCACCATCCTTGCAGAACGTTCTCAGAATAACTTTCCTCGTTTCTCTTACCATAGCCTTCCATCTTATGCAGTTTTATTTCAAGTACTTATCTGACTATTGCTAGTGTTTGCATGCTTCTCCCTCGTTAGGTTCAGTAGCAGAAGGTAAGGTTGTCTTGCTCAGCATTTAGCGTAGTGCCCAGCAAGATCAATGTGATATTACTGAGGTATAAGAAAGGTGCCAGAATGAAGAGGAAAGATGGAGGGAGTGGTTGCTACTGGGCTAGAAGCTATGGATGAACAGTAGGTTGGTGGCCTGGTTAACTCCAACTGTCTGACTTAGGCCCAGTTTATACATTGTATCAGTTTCATCATCTGTAAAGAGGAGTTAATTATGCCTGCCAAACATATTTCAGTAGGGTTTTTGTTGTTAGGACTATATGAGAAAATATGTGGGATAGCACTTGGAAAAGTGCAAATGCGAGATGTTACTGTGAAATTTATATTACAGGTAGAAAGACCTCTTAGTTAATTTGGGAGGCTATAGAAAGTTCTGCCCATGTGAGCCATGCCTTGAAAACAAGGGCAAAGAACAGATTTTGTTCCTCTAATTTCCAGGAGCCCTCATGGTACAGACTCAGTACTAACTTTCCATTAGTCATTTAAGTCAACCCTTTATCATTAAAAGAGCTGCAGTTACCTCCTTCAGGACATAGAAGTAAATAACTAGTTTTGTCTTGAGGTTATGGGGCAAGAGGCTCCTTGCTGAAGGAAAAGAATGTGAGGCAGTTTATAGGACTGTGCAGGAATGAAAAAGAACACTGTCTATAGTATTTGAAATCATTCATTCAGCTCCAGATCCATTTCTTGCAGGAAGTTCTTCCTGAATACTTGGGGCTTCAGAGACTCTTGGGTTCTGGAGTTATACATGAGCTTGAGTCAATCTACTTGGGTAAGTTCTTTCCCCTAGGGTATTCCCTTATCCTTAAGGAGATGTTACCAGCTGTGGTCAGCCAGGAAGCTTAAATTAACTACTGCACATGGAATGATCTGCACAGTGCCCTTGTGAGCACATATAAACCTCTAAAAAGATGGAAGCTGTCACAATTACTCTGTTGAGGCTTCTTAAAATATCACACAATTGGCTTTTTATTCTACACTCTCATAACTGTTGCAACTTTCCCCTAGAAGGTCCAGAGCCTTCACAAGGCTTATCTAATGTTTACATTCACTTATGTGGGGGCTTAGCACAGGGCAAGGGAAGGAACAGCACATTAACATGGAGTATTGTTAATTTCAATTGACCAGAAGAGTAAGGGACATCTGAAGTTCGGAAGGGGTAGGTTGACAACTGGCCAAAACCAGACTAATGGGTTTATTTCTCAGAAGTTGGGTAAGAGAAGCTCAATCATTTTCCTATTTCATTTGAAGAAGCACTCATGTATCTTATGATGCTGCAGAACTGGATGACAGAAATGCAGAGAAACATCACTTGAGAAGTATACCTCAGTTTTTAATCCAATTTTCCTAGTACTGATGGGTTTTCCAAAGATACCTAAAGACCATCACAGCAGTTAATTTTCCATAGCAAACACTCTTCTTAGAGTAGCCTTTTTTGATCATCTCTTTTCTTGGCATGTACAATAAAAGATGTGTTTTGTTGGATTAATCTGCAGTCTAAATTCAGTCTCCAAAACTGGTTAAATATTTTATCAGAGGTCTTAAGTTAGATGTGGTAATAAGTGATCAAACTGAATTTTGCCTAAGTCTCAGGCTCAGTTTGTGTTGTACAGTGAGAGCTTCTTATGTAGTATAAAAATTACAGGGTTCCCAGAAATAAAGGTAAGACAAATGATAAGGCTGTCAGTTAATTCAGTAACACTGTTTTTTCAATAGTGTGCAAAACAAATGGTTCCCACATTCACTTCTTGGATGAAACACTGAGTGCTAAAGTTAAAACAAAGCACATCTGAAAGTGATATTACTTAAATTTACTCCAAAGAAACATGCAAGTGGATTTTTTTTGCTACTATTCAAATGATTAAAGCTCTGAATGATGCACATGAAACCAAAGGGAAAGACATTACCTTTTATGAATCGTAATTTTAACTTGAAAAAACAACAAGGTAGAGAAAGATCCACTAACTAGTACCTGGTTCCAGTGGGGAATTACCATGTTACTATATATGGGCTTGCAAACTTTAAATTGTTTTACCATGCTATTGTCCCAGAAAGCCAGAGCTGGCCAGGCATGGTGGCATACATCTGAAATTCCAGTGCCTTGGAAGGCCAGGATAAGAGCATTGCAAGTTAGAAGCCAGCTCAGCAATTCAGCAAGACCCTGTCTCAAAATAAAAGGGCTAGGGATGTAGCTCAGTAGTAGAGCATCCCTGGATTTAGTTGGATTGGAAATTTAGAGATCCAAAGTCTATTTCTTTCAGTTTACATATCAAACTTTAATATAAAGCAATCACATCTTAAGTTCAATAAGGTTTATTATCTATGAAATGAGTGAGGGCTTTCTCATTTATATTCAGAAATAACAATTTAAAACTTAATTTTTAAACAGGTGGAAGTTGGCAATAATTACTGATAACACTTGGATGGATCTCAAGACATTATGCTGAGTGAAAACAGCTAATTTCAAAATATTATACACTATGATTCTGTTTATAGGACATTCTTAAAATTATAAAATTCTAGTAAAACAGATGAAGGATAAAGGCTGGAGGTGGAGTATGTTTCAAAAGGGTAGAAATAGTTGCATGCTTGAAGTCCTGAGTTTGATTACCAGCCCCCTACCCCACAAAACAAAAAAGGAGATTCAAAAGGTCTGAGGTTTATTTATTAATAATGAACCAATTGTCAATTTCTTGGTTTTGATAGTTTACTATGATTCTGTAAGATGTTATCATGGGGGACACTAGTAAAGGGTACTCCTGAATTCTGTGATTTTTATTTATTTATTTATACTAGGGATTGAATCCAGCATGACTTGACTAATTTTTTAAAAAACTTGAGACAGGGTCTCACTGAGTTGCTGAAGCTGACCTGGAACTTGTGATAATCCCACCTCACCCCTGAAGTCACTTGGATTGCATGTGTGCATTTGGCCTCTGTATAATTTTTGTATCTTGCAGGAGTTGAAAAACAAAAGTGGGAAAGGAAAAACTATAGCAGAAGACAAAGGAAAACAGTCAATTTAGACATTTTTATTGTCGTATTTAAAAATATTAAGACATTTGAAAAAAATCACAAAGTTTATAAAACACACTCATACCCAATACTTTTCTTATTTAATAATAACTAATGCTGTATGTTGAACATCAACCCACCAGATCTCAAGTTTTACTTGCAGAGTTTAACTAATATACTTAAGAGGAAATACATACCTTATATGAAATATCTTAAAATATTTTAAAAAGTAACTTTCCCCTTAAACTCAAGAAGGGCTGATTTTGCTAATTCAGCCAGGGTCAGGGTAAGTTTATGGTTTTTTACTGATACTGGGTAGATGCCTAAATGCAACATGCTAGGAAAATGGACTTTTTAAAACACACAACATAAAACAGCAGTTGAGAGAGTTGAAGAGCATCTATTTATCTAAATTTGTTGAAATAACTGTTAGGAGTTTTTTCTTTTTTAAAAGGTTTCAGTGATGCTGAATAAGAATCTGGCCTCCTCATTAGCCTGTTATCTCACAGACAATCAAGTCATTTGTTCAGCTCTTTGTAATCAGCTGTTACCAATAAAGAGATTGTCTCCTACAGTGATTAGGAATCCAAAACTACTCAAAGGCTCTGGTTTCTCCAAGTACCTTCAGAAGATACCAGTTCTTGTATCAGAAAAGAAAGAGTTAAAGGTTTAAAATAATTTTGGCAACTGTCTGAGACGTTTTACATCTAAAAAGGTACCTACTGAGTTCATGCTATTCATTTGCTTTAAAGTTTCAGAAGGTTGTAAACTTTCAGGAAAAATTGGGACATCCCTTTCATTTTCTTTCTCAGGATGTTGAGTAAACTCGGCTTTTCCAGGCCGGAGGTTTACTGCAGGACCAGGCCTGAGGTTCTTTAATAAGAAAGCTGGGTTTTCCTTCAATTGCTGAGTTACTTTAGACTGCACAACTTCATTTGTGATATTTCTCAATACTGGTACATCTGTGTTAGTGTCCATGGATTCACAGTTATAGCAATTAGTTGTTTCATAGGTATTCCTCAAAGGTTCTTTCTGATGACCAACTTGTGCAGCTATGGAAGTAGGGGTTTGATTCAATGAATTTGAACTCATACTATCTGCAGAGGTAGGAGGATCCTCTTCATCTCCACTATTATCACTGCTTTGTATGAGTCCATATCTCTTCAAGTATTTTTTGGTTGCAAATGACATGTTGCTTGGTGAAATTAAGCTAAGTCCCACTGTGTTTTTGTCTGTATTAATATGTAGAAGGCTAAAAGATGAGTCACAATTATTTTGGTTTGATCGAGTGAGAGACAGTTGTGACAGCTGATTTTCATTTAAATATTTCAGCGCTATAGCATTTGCCTCCATGCTCAAATCCACACCAGTGGGGCTTAAACCACTCATGCCAACATTAGCAAAAGACATATAGTTTAATCCAGAGATCACTGCTTCTGGGCTGATGCATGCCAACACACTGAAAGACACAAAATAATAAGTCATCATTTTGAGTAATAAAGTTTCATCTAAATGTGTTCCTGAATATGAAAGTAACAAAAGATTTCAGCTTTAAGTGCATGGTGCTTTTTATCTGACTACTAGGACATTTAAGTTTCCATGACCTATCTGCCCATTCAAGGGATAAATACGATAACCTAGAAAGTAAAATTCATGATTTACAGACTGAAAGTGGAATACAAATTGATTTTCCTAAATTTGGAAAAATTTGTTTGTTCACTTACTCTGGTGCCAAAGATCAAACCCAGGGCCTTGGGCATACCAGACAATTAATTGCTCTCCCACTGAGCTACATCCTCAATCTCTGATTTTCTTAAATATGTACATCAGTCATGGTTTTAAGAACAAATACAAGGCTCTAAATGTAAAAGTTATTCAATATTGCTGTGTCATTTAATTTTCAACCATTAACCCTAAACAGCTAATATTCAATGTAAAGTAAAATGAATCACAAAACACATCTGATGATTTGACAGTACAAGCTTTGGTAAGTAGCTCAGAAAATTAAATTGCTCATAGTAGAAGAGATTTCCATTTGCAATAAATAAAATCATCAATTGGTCTTTGGATAGAGCCTTACAAATACACACATAAACTTTTTAAAAAAATTTTTTTCTTAGTTGTTCCAGGTATTATTTTATTTCATTTTTTGGGGTACCAGGGACTGTATGTGCTGAGCAACATCCCCAAGCCCTTTTTAAAAATTTTTTTATTTTGAGATAGGATCTTGCAAAGTTGCTTAAGTCCTCGATAAATTGCTGAGACTGGTCTTAAAACTTATGATTCTCCTGCTTCAGTCACCCAAGTCACTAGGATTACAGGCATATAACACCATGCCCAACTTTGAGGTTATTTTTAATAAAAAGGGATCTGAACAGGGTATGTAAGTTGGATACACTCCTAGAAAAAGGAATGTTTTTGCTTTTTAGATGACACAACTATGTAACCATACATCTACTAGCTAGCATATTGCCTTGCCACCTCCAGAAGAACGTTTAGACTCTGTCAATAAATCTCATTTCTCTTCTCCAAAGTATATACATATCTCTTATATATGTATATAACAGATGTTATATGTTATGTATGTAACCTCTCCTCCTAAAAATGAAAAAAACCTAAAATATAAAGATGATCTCATTCATTCTAGGTAAGCTGGCCCTGAACAAATGATGAATCAATTAAGGTACAAATTTATATCTTCTCCCATGAGACTGCTACAATATACCTAAAATTTATTCATCTTTTAGAACAAATTTTAAAAGGTTACCTGGCCTGATCCACTTTATGTGAATTTTTCTTCACTTTAGTGGGAGAATCAATTTTTACTCCCAGGCTTCTTAGTTGCTTAAGAGTTGCATTCAGAACACAATCTTTGTCCACCAGTCCTGAACTGTGTTTTTTTTTCTTTGTATGGTAAACATTTTGGGTTCTGGTACATTCATGGCTGATAAGTACTGCTTTAGTAGATGACTGTTCAGTTTCTTTGGAGGAGTTACTTAATAGATGGTTCACTTGACCCTGATAAAAAGAAAAATTACATATTTAAAAATTACTATTAACAATCTTAGATAAGATCCTAAATAATACCACAAGGAAGGCCAGGGGAAGGCAAATTTACATTATCTTATCAAATTCTATAAAATATCTAGTATATCTGCAAGTATTAGGGGGGTTTTTACAAAAGAAGTCCACCTTCATTATTTGTCAGTCCGTACAGGAAAGAGAATAGTTGTTCTGTTTGAAAAACAAAATATTCATTTTTTAAACCAACATTTAAAAAATATATTGAGTAACATTCCAAGTGTTTTTAAGGATCTATAATAAATTCTGTATAAACAAGTTTTAAACCATGCTTTCATTTACAAAATAGTAATCAATATGTTTAGGGTTGTAAATTAAACTTTTATGTTATTTTCAGAATTACTTTTTTTTTTTTTTTTCACTTTCTAAAAATGAAAATGCTCTGTGATACTATCTCTGCTTTCTTGGCATTAAAGCATATTTCATTCTCTGAGCATACAGGGTTAACACCAATCTAGGACCTAGCAGGCAAATAAAAAATATGTGTTCACTGATGAATACATGGAGTCCTAGTGAAGTATGTTTAATTAGCTGTCAATTATAAATAGAGAAATCAAATGTTCCTAGGTCAAAAATTTTGGATCGAAGTAATAGGCAGGGTCATCTTACGTCCCAGTTCATGTTCTAAGTTTTCTAAGAAAATGAGGTACTCCAACTAAAGCTATCCCTACTGATTCAGTGCTCCTTTTGCTTTACACCACTTTTCAACTTGTCATAGAGTGGTTGCTTGTGTTCTTGTATTGTTATTTCTCCTATGTTCTCGTAATTATCTTTATATATCCACTTTTCTTAATCCCCTTTCTTAGACTAAGCTAAAAATTGAATAAATATCTGCTTACCTGAAGTCAATAAGTATTACCGTAAATACTCCACTAACTTTTCAATTTTCAAGCTTTTTACAAACTCTTTGCTTTTTTGTTGTTGTTGTTACTAACTTTAGTATGAATTTAGCACAATATCAATACTTACACTTACATTTAAAAAATAAGCTTTTTTTTTTTTTTTGCTGAGTATCTGATAACTGGCATATTTACATTTAAGTTATCATAATTTATAAAAAGCTAAAAGAAATACATGATATACTCTTCATTAGGTAAAAATATTTTTATTTCAAATTCCCTATTAGTTTAAATCTAGGGAAAGTTTAATTAATATTACTTGTATTAAAAACCATCTCACAAAAGATGAAATGCTCCCCATGTTCTTACCAATAAATCCTGGTAGATGTTCTGGTTATCTGATGGCTGATGAGACAAAGGTTGCATTACTTGCTCAATTTTTGGTTTCTCAGACTTTTCAGTATTGGTATTGGCACCCTCTGTTGGCCCGGTCTGTAAGCACATGTTCATGCTCTCTGCCAGCAAGGCATTTGGAAAGAATATCGGCACATCGGGTTCTTTTCTCACATCTGAAGAAGAGCTGCATGATAGGACATTTAAGTAAATGTTAGTATCTTAGTATCAAGGTACCTTTAACTGTATATTTGAAATGTAGTAACTTTGGAAGAAAAGGGTAAGACTCAAGCAGCATCTGGTTTGTATTTTCAGCTGGTGGTATATATAACCAGATGCTGCTTGAGTCTTACCCTTTTCTTCCAAAGTTACTACATATAAACTGGAACATAATAGCTTTTCTTTTTTTGGTAGTACTGGGTATTGAACCCAAGGGCACTCTACCACTAATCTACATCCCCTTTTTATTTGCTATTTTGAAACAAAGTCTTGCTAAGTTGCTGAGGCTACAAGTGTATACCAATGTGCCTGGCTTGTCCAATAACACCTTTTAAAGTTATGTGTAATGATTTCAGACAACTTTCTTTGAAAGTTGAAAAACAACTTGTTAATTTCTTCTAAACCTGATGCAATAAAAATTTAAAATATATAATTTGCTCACTTTGAGTTTTAAAATAATTGTCAAAATCCTTGTCAAATGAAAGTTCCTAAGTTGCCATTGATAGTCATATAGTTGATGGTATTTCTTTTCTTTATGCTTTTGTGTATTTTTTTCCAATTTTATACAGTAACAATTTATACTTTCAAAGTAAAAAATATGAAACATTTTAAGTAACTAGGGAAAGTAGTAGTATATTTCTGTTTATTATTATTATTATTATTTAAAAATATTTTTTAGTTGTTGATGTACCCTTTATTTTTTATTTATTTATATGTAGTGCTGAGGATCAAACTCAGTGCCTCACACGTGCCAGGCAAGTGCTCTGTCCCTGAGCCACAAAACCAGCCCTATTTTTTATTTTTTTAATATTTATTTTTTAGTTGTAGTTGGACACAATATCTTTATTTAATTTATTTATTTTTATGTGGTGCTGAGGATCAAACCCATGGCCTCTCATGTGCTAGGCAGGTGCTCTACTGCTGAGCCACAACCCCAGCCGGAAGCAATATTATTCTTATTAGAACAGTAATCTGTGGATTATAGAAAATGAAGGAAAGCAATAATGTTAGCTAGTAGAAGCAGCATTATTATTAGTCCAGGCATAGTTTAAAGTGCATCATCTTTTTTTCTTTTTAACATTTTTTTTAAGCTGTAGATGGACACAATATCTTTATTTTTATTTATTTTTATGTGGTGCTGAAGATCAAACCCAGGGCCTCATGTGTGCAAGGCAAGTGCTCTTCCACTGAGCCACAACCCCAGCCCTCAAGTGCATCATCTTATGTAAACCTTACCAAAAAAGTCTATGAGATAGACATTATATATCATCTCCATTTAACAGACAAAGAAATTGAAGCACCCTAATTGGATATGTTCTCTTGCTTCTTTTAACTCCCATTAGCACCTTCTTTTTATGTTTTAAGTTGCATTTGTGTTTATTTATATTATAACTATCTGTGTGTTTATAATGCCTTGGGCAAATTTCTTTATCTCGATGAACCTCAGTTTCCTTTCCTGGGTTGAAAAACTGTGATAAAATTAATGGAGATTCAGAGAACCTAGCACAGTACCAGATGTACATAATGGGTGATCCGTAATTATTAGTTCAACTACTACTGCCTTCTCCCTGTGCCGCAAACATCAGATTGAGCCTTTATCTTCAACCATGTTGACCAATTTCACTTTAATGAAAACACCAGAACTTAACAATAATTAGGTGCTAAGGCACTGTTCTAATTATTTTACATATATGAACTCATTTAATTCCCATAACAATCTTATGAAACAGGTACTTTTATTATTCCCACTTCATAAATGAGAAAACAGAGTCCCAAGAGATCAAAAGACCTGTCCATAATCATACTGCTGTGATTCAAATCTGGCAGTCTAACACCATGCTCTAATTCACTGTTACACTGTATGTTCAAGGACTTGAAAATATATGTCCTGATGTCTAACTTAGCAAGCAAAAAACAAAAGCTAAAAAAGAACCAAAACATTACAAAGATCTCTCAAAAGATTTAAGATTAAAACAAAACCTTAAAAGATGACTCTTATATGCCAAAGAATATTAGGTATACCCAAAGGGTGGCTCCTGAAAAAATAATCATATTAAAAGAAAGTCTTTATAATACCACATACCATTATTCTCCATGGGGAATAAGCAATCAATAACCAATTAAGCTGCAAGGCAAATAAACTTATCTTTAACAGACTATTTCAACATCAGAAAGACTGATCCAGTAAGGCATCCAAGGGAGACTGAGAGCCCAGGTAGCTGAGGGACATGTATGAATACTCAGCAAGGGGAACTACAGCGTAGGTCAGACCAGATGTTTGGGAGGAGTCCAGAGAAGCACCAGAACCTCCATAGACAACAATGGAGATAGTATTTAATCCAACTCAATACATTTCCTGAACAAAAGACTAGATTTACATCTAGTTATATGTTAGAATCAATGAAGGTGATTAATTGCTCTAAAAAAGCAATTAAGTTCTTTCTATCAGTTAACTCAGATCTGTTTCTAAAGTTAAAAACCACCAAAGGATTAGAGATATTTAAAGTTTTAACTTGAAAACTCCCATAATCCTTGAAAATATTCTTCAGTTTACAGAACTAAGTCAAGGAGAATAAACAGAGATAACCATAGTTCATTCCTTGTCCTCCTCAGTTTCTGTAAATATTCCAAATAAAATGTGGATCTACAGAAAAAATTACAGAAATTAATATGATCATGACCCTGTAGGAACTCAATCTGGCCATGGTGATATACACAAAAGATCTTTTCAATATACTGTGGTACATCAATGAGTCCCTAATTGATTTATAAGATTAAAACACCGTGTACTAAAATGAGGAGATCTGTGGTTCTCTGTTGTTTTCTGGAGGGGCATGTTTATTGTTTTAACCACCACTGTAATTAGAACAATTTAAAATGTCAAATATTATCACAAGATTTAGGATAAAAATAGGTCATCCACTTTCTATCTGCCCCATGTCACCTTACCAGCAAGTTCACCTCTTTTACCTGAGGTATTTTATATCTACATTATTCTTTTACCTTCAAAACTTATCCTACATTTGATATTTTCCATGATTTCCACAGGTCCAAGCCATCCTCATCTTACTTGCTTATTAAGTCCACTAACCAGTCTCCCAATTTCCTCTCTTAAATTTCTTTCATTTGTTCAAAAAACAACAAAAAAGGTCTTCAAAAAAATGAAAATCAGGGGGCTGGGGTTGTGGCTCAGTGGTGGATCACTTGCCTAGAATACATGAGGCATTGGGTTCGATCCCCAGCACCACATACAAATAAATAAAATAAAGGTATTATGTCCATCTACAACTAAAAAAAATATTAAAAAGAAAGAAAATCAGGGGCTGGGTTGTAGCTCAGCGGTAGAGTGCTTGTATAGCATGTGTGAGGCACTGGGTTTGATTCTCAGCACCACATATAAATATATAAAACAAAGGTCCATCAACAACTAAAAATATAAAAAAAAAGAACAAGAAAATCAGATCATACCACACCATTGTCTGAAATCCTCCCCTGGCTTTAATGAATAGGGAATAACTCCAAAACTCCTTTCTTTCTTTCTTTTTTTTCTTTTTTAAAGAGAGAGAGAGAGAGAATTTTTTTAATATTTATTTATTTTTTTTAGTTTTCGGCGGACACAACATCTTTCTTTGTATGTGGTGCTGAGGATCCAACCCGGGCCGCACGCATGGCAGGCGAGCGCGCTACCGCTTGAGCCATATCCCCATTCCCTCCAAAACTCCTTTCTACATCCTACAAAGCCCTATATGCTTTGGCTCCTGCCTTGATCTCTGCCTTCATTTTTTACACTCTTCCTTATCAGTCACTGTATCCAGTCATATTGCCTTTCCTGCTTGCTTCTAGATCTGTCAAGCTCATGCACAACTCAAGGTCTTAACACTTGGTATTTCTTCTAACCACAACACTCTTCCCAAAGATCCTGTCATGACTGGTTCCTTCTCATTATTCAAATCACTGCTCAAATGTCACCTCTCAAAGAGGCTTCCTTTCCCACCCTATTTAACATATCACACTTCATTCTCATGCTACCATCCAAGTTACACTGCACTTGATCACTCTGTTCATTTTCTTCATAGTAGCTGTCACCATATGATATTATATTATTTTGTTGCTTATGAGGATATATTTCATAAAATTAGGAGTTTTGTCTAACCTACTGCTTGATCTCTAGTGCCAAGTTCTGTGGGAGCACATACCACAAGTTCAAAGAAAATTTGCTGAATTTATTACCAAATGTGCTGAGGATCTGAGTTACTTTGGATTTTTTTTTTTTTTAAGGTGGACACAATATCTTTATTTTATTTTTATATGGTGCTGAGAATCGAACCCCGTGCGCCTCACGCATGCTAGGCAAGCGTGCTATACCACTTGAGCCACATCCCCAGCCCCTACTTTGGAATTCTTTTAATAGAAAATTTCACAATGAAAAGTTTCAAACAAGAGATTATATAATAAACTACCACATACCATCTGTTTCAAAACTTATCAATTACAAGACAATTTTATTTCATTTAAACTCTTAGCTATTTCATCTTCCATTAGATAATTCTGAAGCAAATCTCAGATAAGTATTCAGGTTGTTATCTTTCAAAAATATTCTTTTTTGTGTATAATTTTAATAGGGAATCGTAAAAAAATTTTATGATTCTGAGCCCCATCTCCATCTAGAACCTAGTATTATAAGAATCTCAAAGGTGAGGAGTGAGTGTATGTAATTTGAAGTTTTCTTCAGTTATTCTGAGTTATTCAGGCTGTTAACACATCCAGTGACTGACATCTGGGAATGGTTCAAGAAAGCTCAAAAATGACAGTTATGCAGACACCATGTTATGGAAATATATCAATGAAAATACCATGTAGAAAATAAATAGTTTTATGTTAGAGTAACAAAAAATATAAGTTTTTTTTTTTTTTTTGGTGGGGGGGGTGCGGGTACTAGGGATTGAACCCAGTGGCACTTAACCCTGAGTCACATCCCCAGCACACCCCCTTTAAAAAAAAAAAAAAAAGATTAAATAAGAATTGCACAGAGCCAGGCGCAGTGGCACACGCCTGTAATCACAGTGGCTCGGGAGACTGAGGCAGAAGGATTGCTAGTTCAAAGCCAGCCTCAGCAACAGCGAGGCACTAAGCAACTCAGTGAGACCCTGTCTCTAAATAAAATACAAAATAGGGCTGGGGATGTGGCTCGGTGGTTGAGTGTCCCCGAGTTCAATCCCCGGTACAAAAAAAAAAAAAAATTGCACAGAATGGTGATAATAGTAAATAACAATGCATGATATATTTCAAAATTGCTAAGAGTGTATTTTAAATGTTTGCATCATACCAAAAAAATGGTAACTATGTGACATGATAGATATGTTGAACAGCCTGATTTGCTCAGTCTACACTGTAAACATCTAAATGTATCCCACAAAATTGTCAATTAAAGATAAAATGTGAAAACAAAAGAAAAAAGAAAAAGACAAAAATAGGATGAAACACGAATAAAGGAAACCTTACTTGGATTCATTAACTGGCTGATTAAATTCTTCCACAGCAATGTTGCTTTCTTCAAAACTGGGAATATCAACTTCTCTTAATGAAGATGCACTACCTGGAGGACTTGTGACTTCATTATTAATATCGACAGAAAAATTCATGTCCTCACTAGAAATCTTGGTGTCATCTTGCTTCAGTTGAGAATCTTGATCATCGCCTGGTGCATTCCAAAACAGGCTGGCACCTGGAGGTAAAGTGATTTAACAGACACTGAAATAAATATTCAATTACAAAAATAATGAAAATAAAAGCTTGTTATGATTAGCTATATTATTTTAACACAATTATCTACAACTGTTTTCAGATTATATTTCCTCAGAAATGCCACAAAAAGTTAGGTGAAAGGTAGAAAGAAGAAAACTGGGACAAAGGGAAAGGGGACATCCTGGGTTCTGCCTCTTTTAAAGGAATGACTCTGTTTTACATATTAAGGTTCTGAATATTAACTGTAGGGTGTCTTTGTGTGTTGAAAACTGCTGCTCTAAATAGCAGGAGAAAATACATAAAATACAAAACCCTAGGATCTCTGGTTTTCATCCTTAAATAGAATATTTAAGAAACTATATTAGAGAGGCATCAGACATATGTAAAAATCAAATGCTCCCCAATATTTATGGACCATCTGCATATATTTTCAGAGCTTTTTGCATATTTGCTTATACTTTTTGTTAAATTAACTACTTTTTTATTTTTTATTACTGGGAATTAAACCCTACTTAAACTCTGCTCTACTGCTAAGCTACATTTCTAGCCCTTTTTATTTTGAGATAGAGTCTTAGTAGGTTGCCCAGGCTGGGATTACAAGCATGCATTACCATGACTGGCTAACCCACTTTACCTTTGCCTAGTGTCATCGTTTCTGTGAAGTTGTACATTTGCTGTGCTAGTTATAGCTCTTCTAATACTCATAACAATAAATACATTTACTGGATGGAACTGGAGGCTATCACACTAAGTGAAATAAGCCAATCCCCCCCAAACAAAATGTGGGGGAGTGTGTGTGTGTGTGAAGATTCACCAAACTGGACAGAGAGGAATGGGGAAAGAAGCGGGGATGGGAATACGGGAGACAGTAGAATGAATTGGATATAACTTGCCTATGTTCATATATGAATACATGATCCGTGATAACTCCATATCATGTACAATCCCAAGAATGGGAAGTTATGTATTATATGTAAAAATACATTCTACTGTTGTATATAATTAAAAAGAACAAATAAAAATAAATAATTTTTAAAACTTAAAAAAAAAAGAAAAAATATATTGTAAAATGTAAAATATTCATTACCCCAAATCTTCTTTTGTATCATCAGTGATCTGCATTCTACAATTTGGGAAACACTGCTATAAATAATGATTTAAAAAATATGATTAAAACCAAAAAGTGAATCCAAGTTGAAATGGTTTCTACTTAGGTGTTATGAAAATAAATGAATAAGGGCTGGGGCTGTAGCTCAGTGGTAGAGCGCTTGCCTTGCATGTGTGAGGCCCTGGGTTTGATCCTCGGCACCACATAAAAATAAATAAAAATAAAATAAACGAATAAAAAAGCAAGAGGTAACTTAGAATTCATTATTTTATTAAAGACAATTTTGAAAAAGATAAAAAGGTCCTGCTTACTCTATGTATCAATATATACCTTTAGGGAATTAAGCACATGTAGAATAAATGTGCTTTGAAAAGTCATTTGGTTAAAAAGACTATTAATAATTCATTTTATGTAGATAAATAATAACTAAATATGAATCTATGATGTTTTAATATATTTGAATTCATACATTATGTCTGAAAACATGTCTCAATTTCATAATCACTTTGAATATGTGAATGACTTCATTCAATTGTCAGTTTATTTACTCAATAGACATTGTTTCAGTGGTCCAGATCTCAAAAGCTTACAGTCTAGTGATAGATATAGATGTTAAGCAACTAGAATATCGTAAACACAGAATTTTACAAGAGAACATAGAAGACTGCACTTTGGTACATTTATTGGTTTGTAATACCCACAAGCTCCTTTTCTTTCTTTTTTAAGATATTTATTTTTTAGTTTTAGGTGGACACAATATCTTTATTTTTATGTGGTGCCGAGAATTGAATCCAGTGCCTCACGCGTGCTAGGCGAGCACGCTACCACTTGAGCCACATCCCTAGCCCCTCCTGCTCATTCTTAATCACCAGAAATACAATTCAGAGCTCCATGTTTTCTCATAGAGTCCATACTATTTTTCTTACCCAGTTTGTTCTGCCATTTCTCAACTCTACTTACTGAAATGTTGCATAACTTCTAATGCCCACACTCAATTACAATGCATAGATAAAACCTTACCCTGATCCCTCTTATTAGAACTGCGTCTAACTTTAGCTATTTGGGAGACTGAGACAAGAGAATTGCCAAGTTCGAGGATAGCCTGAGCTACTTATTGAGACCCTGTCTCAAAATAAAAAAAGGACTGGGGATACAATTCAGTGGTAGAGCACTCCAGAGTTTAAAAAAAAAAAAAGGCTGGGGATGTAGCCAGGCCTTAGCATGCATGAGGGCCCTGGGTTCAATCCCTAGGACCTTAAAACAAACAAACCAAAGCAAACAAAAAGAATTAAAGAATTAGGTCCAACCTAGAAAAGTAGTAAAACCAAACAATGTATCATGTTATGTAATTTCTTATGTGTTCTTCGGTGCATTTTTCTTTCATAAAGAGTAAAATAACAGGGGCTGGGGCTGTGGCTCAGTGGTAGAATACTCCCCTGGCACGCATGAGGCACCACATAAAAAAATAAATAAATAAAAGTACTGTGTTCACCTACAACTAAAATATATGTATATACATTTCTAAAAAAAGAGTAAAATAACAGACTGAAGTTATATTTTCATCACCTTGGTTTTATTCTATTGTACTCTGCACCAATTTTAGTATAAAAATCCAAAAGCCAGATATAAAAAAGCATTTCTTAAAAATTTCTTACAATTAAAAAAAAAAAAGAAATTACCTGTGCTCACAGCAATGCTTACACTTTTTTTCATGTGCGAGCCAGGGGAAGACTGTGCTTCCATGGAAACCAGCTCCATTTGCTTTGTAGCTTGCACAGTGTCTTCAACAATAGTTGTCTTAGGGGAACCAGGCTTCAGAGACTGTGCTTCCAGCAAACGCTGAATCTGTATCAATTAAAAACATACTTTAAATTGACAGTGAAGTTATCAACAAAATTGGCAGGAGAGTTTAATAATGAATTACAAAGTGTCCCAGTTATAAAGAGCTGACTTTTAACTATATTTTCTCACATTCCAATTAGAACATACCATGAAACTCTGTGTAGAGTCATTATCATTAGTTATTAAGAACACTTTAAGCTAAGTAAAAATTTAAAAGTGAAACATAAAAGTGTTTAGATTAGCATTTGTAAACTGACACTCATATAGAAAAGTCTGAATGGTTAATACTTCAACATTTTATTCCTACTTCACTAATAAATCAAGGAAGAATGGTATACTGTGAATCCATGTACCAAATATGGAACATTTTACACAAAATTTTCTTAATAATGTTAATCAGAGTTGCCCACATTTGACCATGCTGAAACTGGAAATGGTAATAAATAATGGCCATCACCTTTTGGGTGTTTCTTGTTTGCAAGACAAGATACCATAAATTTTTATGAATGATTTTTATAAAAACCCCATAAAGAATATACTACTATAAAATACACTTTACCGACAAGAAAACATAAGGCATTGAAAATTTAAGTTTCTTGCCCAGATCACGTAACTAACAAGTAGCAAAACTGAGGCTTAAAGACAAATAGTCCCTCCTCCTCCTCCTTTAAAAATTGAGATATAGGTGCTGAGGTTATGGCTCAGAGGTAGAGCACTCTCCTTGCACGTACAAGGCCCTGGGTTCGATCCTCGGCATCACATTAAAAAAAAAAAAATTAAAAAACAGTTATAAAAAACTGAGATATAATGCACATACCACAGAATTTACCACTTTAAAAAATTCATTAGTTTTAGTATATTCACAAAGTTTGCAGCCATCACTATTACCTAATTCCAGAACATTTTTATCAAACTCAAATAGACTCCATACCATTAACAGTTACCCCAACCCTTGGCAACCACTAAAATACTTTCTATCTTTATGAATTTGCCTACTCCGGTCATTTTGTAAAAACAGAACCACACAGTATATAGCCTTGTGTCTGACTTCTTTCATTTTTTCAAGGTTCAACAATATTATAGCATTTACTAATAGTTTTTATTGCTGAATATTCCATTTTATGAATATATGTCAAATCCTGTTTATCCATTCATTAGCTAGTGGACAATTGGATTATTTGTTTAAGCTATCATGAATAATATTGCTTTGAACATTTATATGTAGGTTTTTGTATGGAAATATTTTTTTCATTTCTCTTGGGTATACCAGAAGAGCTTCCCTTTATTTTCTGGAGGTACTGGAAATCAAACCCAGGGCCTCACAGGTGCTAGGCAAAAACCCTTCAACTGAATCATATCCCCAGCCCAACCCTGGGCTGTGATTTTAAATACTGTGATTTTTTTTTTTAAAATACTGTGATTTTTCTATTTCCTACAAATGGTACACTGTATTTAACTAATCTCATTAATTTTAGTGGATTAACATTATTAGTATAAATATTATCAACAAATTATTAAGATCAGTAGAAATAAAGGCTGAGTCAACATAAAATGGCATATGTATTTATAGTGGTTTTGAGCATGGGCTTTAGTATCATGAAGACATAAGTTTAAATTATACTCTGCTACCTTTGGGATATTATAAGCTTCAATATCACCCAAAACTAAGGTTGTTGTGAATATTAAAAGAGACGAATAAAATAGTTTAACTTGTTGAATGCTCATCACAGCCAGGTCCTACACTAAAGTATTTTATAATAAACATATTTAACCTTCAAATCTACAGATAATACCAATCATCTCTCCTATTTTTCAATGAGAAAAGTGAGATTTAGAAAGAACACATAGGAAACACTCAATAAGAGACTTTTTATACATATTCAGGGCCTAAAGTTAATCAGAAAGTATGCTTTAACAATGTGCTTTCTCAGCAGATGCAGAGGTGCATACCTATAATCTCAAATATTTAGAGTCGCGGGCTGAGGTAGGAGGATCACAAGTTCCAGGCCATCCTGGGCAACTTAGTGAGAGAACCTGTCTCAAAATAAAATTTTACACTGGGCTTGGTGGTACATACCAGTGGCTTAGGAGGCTGAGGCAGGAGGATCACCAGTTCAAAGCCACCCTAAGCAAAGGTAAGGTGCTAAGCAACTCAGTGAGACCCTGTTTCTAAATAAAAACAAAATACAGCTGGGGAAGTGGTTCAGTGGTGGAGTGCCCCCCAGTTAAATACCATACTACACACACACACACACAAAGATATATTATTCAATAAATATGTGGGGCTAGTTATCTGATTAAAAAAAAAATCTTACCTCCACATCCAAACAAAATAAAATAAAAGCAACAATCCCACAGGGGAGGGATGGAGAGTAAATTTTTTATAATCTTGAAGGGAAGAAGACTTTTCTAAACATAATATACAACTCAGAAAGACAATGAGTAATATTTAACTTTAGATAAGCTAGATTATTATGCATGAAACAAATGGCCAAAATGTAAAACACTTAAGACAAACTGTAAAAGATTCCATGTGTGATAAAGAATAAATTTTCTTAATATATAATCTCTTATAAATTAGTTAGAAAAGGACTTAGTAGAGAATACTTAAATAACAGATTTTTAACCAAAGGAATACAAATGGCCATAATAATTCATGTTACTTATAATAATATAATGCAAATTAAAAGTTTCTAATTATAAACCTGATAATTTTAGAGTTTGATATGGCTAACATTGCAGATACAGGGTATTAAACTGGTATAACCTGGGCTGAGGGTATAGCTCAGTGGTAGAGTGCTTACCTATCATGTGAGGCCATGGGTTCAATTCCCAATACTACAATAATAAATAAATAATATAAAGAGGTTTAATTCTTTTTATTAAAGACAAGGGAAAAGACTCCCTCCTACCCCTTATTTAAAGAGAAAGAGAGAGAGAGAGAGAGAGAGAGAGAGAGAGAGAGAGAGAGAGAGAGAGAACACGAACACTGGTATAACCTCTCTGGCAATCACTTTCACTCATTCAAGTAACAAAACATGTATTAAGCAACAATTACAAGTCAAGTACTAATAACGGTGCTAAAACAGTGATGGTAAGTAGCTGCCTCCTTAGAGCTACTTTATATCTCAGACCAAAAAAAAAAAACAAAAAAAAAAACACCAACATATAATTAAGGCGTGAATGACGTAAAGGAACTAGCCTATTTTAAGAACCAAAGGAGGCATATTTCAGTCAAAGAGAGACGCAAATTTAAGAATTAAATATAAGCATGTTGTGGCATGTTTGAAGAACAAAAAGCATAACACTGTGGCTGAAATGTAGTGAACATAGAAGAGAGTGTTAAGAGATGATTTGGAAGAAAGAGACAGACACAGAATCACAAAGGTCTTTGAGAGCCAAAGTAAAGAATGTGGAATTTATTCTAGTTGTAATGGAAAATCTCTGGAGGGCTTTAAGGAAGAAGGCCATGATCTGATCTGTGCTTTAAAAGATTTTTGTGGAGTTTTCAAGGGCAGGAAATATGGAACAGTACTGGGCATGATTAAAGAATGGTTTGACTTGGGGTATAGCAGGAAAGACAGTACAGAGTAGTTAAATTTAGGATGCATCTATAAAGTAGAGCCTAAGTTTTTTGTTTTTATTTTTTGTAGTGCTGGGGATTGAACCCAGGGCCTCATGCATGCTAGGCAGGTGCTCTATCATGGCTATATCCCCAGATCCAAGAGCCGAGGTGTTTTTTGTTTTTTAAATTTGGCCAGAGTGCCTGGATGACAGATGATGTCATTAACTGAGACAATAATGATAATAAAAATAATAGTAACAGTTAACATTTATTGAGCATTAACTTCATACCAGGCATGAATCTAAGCCCTTACTTAGTAACTCATTCAATCCTTAGAACTCCATACAACTCATGTATATCCCTATTTTGTATAAGAGAAAATTGAATTCAGGGTTAGGGGTATGGCTCAGGGTTGAAAACTTGCCTAACACACATATAAGCCCCTAAATTCAATCCCAACCACCACAACAAAAAAACTCAAAAACAACAACAGCATAAAGACAAAAAACTGAATTCACAGAAGTAAGATTATTTGTCCAAAGTCATATAACTTAATTTCACAATTTTACTTCTAAGAATCTATAGTACACAGATACTGACACATATGCAGTTAGGTGCAAATACAAGGATGCTCACTGCTTCATTTTTTTGCAATAATAGGTACTTCAAACTGTTGATATAATCAGTAGAACAATTAGAAAACTCTGTGTACAGCAGAACAAATTCCTATGTAGAGTATGAGAGTTCTATATGTACTTACAAGGAAAACGCCTAAAGTATTAAAAAAAAAAAAAAAAGAACCTACAAAAAGCTAAAAAAGAAAAAGAATTTCATGTACGAGGAGAATACTATATTTAACCACAGATTTCCTGTATCATATATTTTGGGGGGGATGGTTACTGGGGATTGAACTCAGGGGCACTCGACCACTGAGCCACATCCCCAGCCCTATTTTATATTTTATTTAGAGACAGGGTGTCACTGAGTTGCTTAGGCTGAGGCTGGCTTTGAACTCACATTCCTTCTGTTTCAGCCTTCCAAGCTGCTGATAACAGGCATGTGTTATAGCGCCTGTCCCAAGTTACTAAGATTTCTCAACAGCTTAAAGAATCCTTTTAGCCTCTATTATTCTTTTTTTGAACAAGACAAAAAAGAATTATTTTCATTATAGAAATATTTAACTAAATTAAAATTTCTGCTACATATTTATCACAATTTGTTAAAATCCAATGTATATTTTATAATTTCAAAGAATTTACCTAGGTTTAAAAAAACAGCAAAGCTGGGGCTGGGATTATAGCTCAATGGTAGGAGTGCTCACCTAGCATGTGTGAAGCACTGGGTTTAACTCTCAACACTACATAAAAATGAAACTTTAAAAATAAAGGTATTGTGTTAATCTACAGCTAAAAATATTAAAAACAAACAAAAAAAAGCAAACCTGGCCAGGTGTATTAGCACACACCTGTAATCTCAGAGACTTGGGAGGCTGAGACAGGAGGGCTCCAAGTTCGAAGCCAGCCTCAGCAACTTGGCAAGACCCTCTCTCAAAATAAAAATAACAAAAAAGAAGAAAAAAAAAAAAAAGAAAAAGAAGGAAAGAGCAAAGCTGAATTTTTCCCAGGTGCTCCTATCCAAAGCATTTTTAAGCACAATTTCAAATTGCTTTTTTTTCCAAACTGCAAACAAGATGCCTCCAATTTTATAAAGCACATGTATTTATGCATACTATATACATACACACATAAATACATATTATATATTATATATTCCATATAGCTTTATGGAAAAAACATGAAAATGAGGAACAATTGGTATGGGGTGGGTATATGCAGGAAGGATATCAATGAATAAAGACATAATACTTATAAACTAAACTATGCACTGCAATAAAGCTTAAGGGCTGGAGATGTGGCATATGTGAGGTCCTGGATTTGATTCCTCGCACCACAAAAAATAAAAAAGAACTCTGTAATAAAATCCCTTAAGGAACAGAACATTTCAGAACAAACTGAGTGGAACAAGTCAAGTTTTAGTCTATTCTCTGAAGGTACACTGGCTAAAGGTCGGTATACATAATAAATGATTAAAAAAGTAAAGATGTGTCAACGTTTAGTTGTATATAAATGTTTAGAAGAATTATACAATCTTTTTTTATAGGAGCAAAAAAGCAAAGAAAAATGCAATAGTCTTGTAGGTTAGGATATCACAAGATAGTGTGAAAGAAGGCTTGCTTTCTTTTCTGGTTCTACCATTAACTAGGAATGAGGAACTGGGTTAAATTATTCTCTCTAATCCTCACACTTCAGCTTATCTATAAAATGAGAGGTACTAGAATTCAGTTTTGAAGGTTTCTTTTAATTCTGACAACTCTATTCATAAAAACGTAATTACTGAAGAGTAATAAAACCAGTTTTTAAGAAACCATATCAATACAAAGAATTGAACAAAACTAAGAAATCTTCAAGCAAACCTGTGCCTGAAGTAGCCTCAGCTGTCTGTCTTGCTCTGTGACGAACCGATAAGCATCTGGAGACAGTCCCATCATTCCATTATCTGACTCAGTCTTGGTTGTGTGCATACACACTGCACAAGGATGTGGGTTACAAGAGTCTATATGTGAAGGTCTTGCCACAGGCGATGGTTCTACATTGTTGTGGGGAGAACAACTATCCATGCCTCCCTGAGGTCTCAAGGCTACAGGGCTACTTGAAGAATAGAATGCTTTATGACACAGAGCTGGACATCCACTTGGATGAATCAATGAATGTTTCTGAAGGGCTTCAGACTGGAGGTCTTGAATGGATCCAACTGTATTTACTCCTTGCCAAGAACTTATTGGACTATATTGAATATGGCCATGATGCTGATAACAGCTGCAGACATTTGTGGAATAATAAGTTGGTAGTGGGGGAGCAGGTACCTGACCTTCTATTGGTCTTCCTGAATTATGAGGTGAAAAAACAAAATTGTGTGGATGGGACTGTGGAGCAAGAGAAGACTGTCTAGAATTAAATGAGGAGGTTCTTAGAGGATACTCTTCTTTCTGTACATTTCCAGCAGAAACTGCTTGAAGTTTCTCAGTTATATCAGGAGGTGGAACATTAAAAGAAGATGGCTGAACACTCTTATTCCTAAAATGAGGGTTCCCTATGTTACAGGTAGATGGCTGTCTTACTTTGCTGTCTGTCTTGCTCTTGCTCCTCAAAGGAGCACTGTCCTGATTAAACTGACTTGATATCCCTTTTAAGGAAGACTCTCCAGGTTCAGCTTCTGGGCTGTGTTTCTCATCATAAAGCTCAGGTTTCATTGCCTTCAAGTGTTCAGAGTGCTGAATCAACAAACGAGAATTTTCAGTGTTCACCGTTTCTAATGGATTCAACATATGATTTGATTCTATAAAATTGCCATCTAAAACAAGTGAAAGTTCAGGAACTAATGGTTGGATCTTGGAAATCTACAAATGAAAAAGAAAAAAGAAATTCTTAGGAAAAGATATATGCATTACTTTCCTTAGATTAGTATTTCTCTAATATTAGCCATTTAAATATTATTCATAATCTATACCATCAATAAATATTTTCTGGATATCTTGAATGTAGGCAGTATGAATATAATTGTAAGCAAAATAAACAAGGTCTTTGCTCTGAAAGAATATAGCTAAGCATCTCCCAGACTTATTTAATAATGGAACTTCTTTTATTGGACCACTAATTAATGTTGCTTAGATCATAGGATATGAGAAACTTTTATACACTAGTTTTACATCTTCACTCTGTAAAGAAGTTATCACAGGTAGAATGTTTCAATAGACCTAGTAGCAAATGTTTATGTATCTCAAATAACAAGGGATTTTCCAATAAATATTTCAAAATATTTTTCCACTAAATTATGTTATTCTGTTATTCCTTTTACTGATGTCAGCTAAAAGGGCTGGAAAAAGAGCAGGGAAGACTAAACAAAATGCTCCTTGTGGAGAATTTGGTTATACCTTGATATTCATTTAAAAAATATTTCCCATACCTTTCTCTTCTAACATAAGTAACAAAACAAAAAACTAAAAAGGGCTGGGGGATGTAGCTCAGTGACACAGCACCCCTGGGCTCAATCCCACTATCAATAAAAAAATAAATAAATAAAATAAGTAACAAATCCATGTGAGGTATACAACAATTCTAAAAGAACCTACTGGTTGGCAGCACAAAAAATTATGATGGAATCAGAAAATTAACCTCTGATTGCAAAGGAGATGTTTTTTCAGAATATGGTAACAAAAAACAAAAAAATCAAGCTTTGCTGATAGTATAGAATGTTGAGTCTATATGGCTGTATTTTGTTTTGTTTTGTTTTGGTACCAGGAATTAAACCCAGGGGCCTTTAACCACTAGCGACATCCCCAGTCCTTTTTAGATTTTCTTTCTTTCTTTTTTTAAAGTCAGGGTCTTTCTAAGTTTCTCAGGGTCTCACTAAATTGCTAAGGCTGGCTTCAAACATATGATTCTCTTGCCTCCCTTAGCCTCCTGAGCCACTGGGATTATGGGCCTGAGTAATCCTGGCTATATGGTTGTTTAAAGCACCAGATTCTGGGCTGAATGTGGTGGCACATGCCTATAATCTTAACTACTAGGGAGGCTGAAGCAGGAGAATCACAAGTTCAAGGACAGCCTGGGAAATTTAACAAGACCCTGTCTTAGAAAACAAAACAAAACCCAAAACAAATCTCTATCAGATTCTAAAACCAAACCTCCTGAATTAACAATCCCAGCCTTACTACTCACTGTGTGATCTTGGACAGGTAACTTAACCAATCTATGCCTCACTTTTCTCTGAGAATAACAATTATATGTAATCATTATATATATAATTACATATATGTAAAGAGTATAAAGAATGTGTATATGCATTATTACTTTTAACAATAATTATATGTACTTTGAGGGTGTGTGTGTTTATATGTGTAAAATCATATAGAGATATATAGCTAGAATAATAAATAAATTTTAGGTCCTATTTAATGCTTTTTTTTTTTTTTTTTAAGAATTTTTTAAAATATTTATTTATTTTTTTTAGTTTTCGGCGGACACAACATCTTTGTTTGTATGTGGTGCTGAGGATCGAACCCGGGCCGCACGCATGCCAGGCGAGCGTGCTACCGCTTGAGCCACATCCCCAGCCCCTATTTAATGCTTTAAAAAGAGGCTTTTTGATCTCTAATCACAAAGGTGAATTCATACTAAGATCAGGGATACCTTCTGACTCACTGGATGAGGACTAGGAATTGGTCTTGGAGAAAAATCTTCATCTTCAACACCAGAGTCATGATCATTTACTGGTATTTTTCCAAGAGATAACTTCTGGGAAGAACTAAGGCATAGAAAAGGAGACAAGAAAAAATTTTAGCAACCTAGTATACTTTATTCTAGTTTAAACTGAGTGAATAAGACCTTAAAAAGTAGTATTTGGATCATTTAATTTAGTATCTAACACTATAGATTTTTTTTTCAGATCAATATTAGTTGACCAGGAAAGCTGATCTATTCAAGTTCTTATTTAATTGATTACCTTGTTTACCTGATCATGGCAGGTTTATCCCTATGTTATTAACATTACAATAAATCAATAGTAACTGAGCACCTTCTGATTGATTATGCAAGGAGTCTACAAGTATACTTAATATAAAAATTATAATCTGTTGATAAGGCATGCACATTGACACAAACACTATGCTAAAAAGGAAAATAATTAAAGAATTACATATTCCTATGAAGTTATATCTGTGATGGGAAAATACATTTAGGTATCACCTCTCATTTAGTCAGCTATGGTTATTGTATCACAGATGGCATACTTCTGCAGAATATAGAACAATTTTGAGTATTAGTACTAAGTTTCAAAAGCTGAAACTAGGGTTTAAGACTAAAGATTTGAAATACTATATGTATCATGTTTTTATCTAAACTAGATAAAGTTTCAATAGAATGCTTTAGGGGAAAGTAAAGTCAAAAGGAAGCTAAGAGCAGGGTGTAGTGGCACACACCTATAATCCCAACAACTCAGGAGGCTGAGGCAGGAGAATCACAAGTTCAAAGTCAGACTCTTAGCAACTTAGTGAGACCCTATTTCAAAATAAAAAAGGGCTGAGGATGGGGCTCAGTGGTTAAGTCCCCCAGGTTCATTTCCCAGTACCAAAAAAAGAACCAACAAAAAAAGGAAGCTAAAAGAGAGCTTAGAACTAAAGAGGCTCTTAAGAAAGGATCCTGTATATGAAGAACTCCAAAAAACTTAACAAAAAACATAACACCAAACAAACAACAAAAAAACTCCAATCAATAAATGGGCAAAGGAACTGAACAGAAGAAGAAATAGGCATGGTCAACAAATATATGAAAGAATGTTCAACATTTGTAGCAATTATAGAAAGTTGAATGAAGACTACACTGAGAATTCACCTCACTCCAATCAGAATGGCAATTAGCAAGAATACAAGTAACAGTAAATATTGGCGAGGATGTAAGGGAAAAGGTACATTCATACACTGCTGGTGGGACTGCAAACTGGTGCAATCACTCTGTAAAGCAATATGGAAATTCCGCAGAAAACCTGGAATGGAACCACTTTTTCTTTTTCTTAACTGGAACTAGGGATCAAACCCAGGGCTTTATGAATGTAAGGCAAACACTTTGCTGCTGATCTACATCCCAGTCCTGGAACCACCATTTGACCTAGTTCTTCCACTCCTTAGTATATACTCAAAGGACTTAAAATCAGCATACTATAGTGATGTGGCCACATTAATGTTTATAGCAGCTCAATTCACAATAGCTAAGCTATGGAACCAACCTAGGTGCCCTCCAACAGATGAGATGAATGGATAAAGAAAATGTGGAATGTTATGTGCAATGGAATATTACTCAGACATAAAGAAGAATGAAATCCTGGCATTTATTAGTAAATGGATGGAACTATCATGCTAAGCAAAATAAGCCAATCCCCCCAAAAACTAAATGCCAAATATTCTCTCTGATATGTGAATACTAACACACAATAAGGGGTGGGGAGGGAAGAATAGAAGTTCACTGGATTAGACAAAGGGAAATGAAGGGAAGGGAGTAGTGGAAATAGGAAAGAGTAGAATAAATCGAACATAACTTTCCTATATGTTCATATATGCATATAACACCATATCACGTACAACCACAAAAATGGGATCTTAACTAGAATAAGTTATACTCTCTTTACGTATAACAAGTCAAAATACACTTGTTATACACTCCCTTTATAACAAGTCAAAATACATTCTATATCTAAAAAGAGCAAACAAAAATAAATAAATAAAGGTTAAAAGAAAGAAAGGACCCTGCATCCTGTTTTATACAAGTTGAATTCTTTCTTGTAGAAGATAATAGAACAAGTAACTCCAAAGCAGACTTGAAATTCTAATAGCAGACGAGAACTTCCCCCAAACTGATAGTCTGGAGAGAGAGACACAAAGATTTTTCTCTGCAAGGTACTGCAATGAAGCAACAAGAATATCTGCATAGTGTGTTTAAGCAGATGGTTCTATACCAAGCCACAAAGCTCTCCCATCAAGTCAAAGGACAAGTGAAATACAGAATGATATCCCAAGTGCTCAGAATAGCACAGACATGACAGAGAGAGCCAGGAACCAGAATAAGGTCATAGGAGTTTCACTGCAGGAATGTGCACAAGTCTGCTTAAGATCAGCTGCTAATGATAACATCTCAATATACAGCAGTAGAGATGGATGAGAATTATGTCAACTCTTATTCCAAGTATTGGTACACCATTTACAATCCTTTACACAAAACCCAAAGGGCTGGGGTTGTGGCTCAGTGGTAAAGTGCTCATCTCACATGTGTAAAGCAGTGGGTTTGATCCTCAAACATATAATAAATAAAATAAAGTTATTGCATCCATCTACAACTAAAAAAAAAAAAATTAAAAAAAAAAAAGGAAAAGGGATGAAAAGGCCTTGATTTGACTGAAATTTGGTTTCTATAACTCAGTAGAAAGATTTTTTGTTTGTTTGTTTATCATGCTAATATTATAAACAGATAGCACTAAAGGTCCAAAGATAGATCTGAGTTATAGTAAAAAAGTTGAATAACAGAAAAGTCAATTGCTATGATGCATTAAAAATAACAATTGTGGGCTGGGGATACGGCTCAAGCGGTAGCGCGCTCGCCTGGCATGCGTGCGGCCCGGGTTCGATCCTCAGCACCACATACCAACAAAGATGTTGTGTCCGCTGAGAACTAACTAACTAAATAAATAAAAGAAAAAAAAAGAAAGGCTATGCCTTTCAAACTAAAAAAAAAAAAAAAAAAAAAAAAAAAACAATTGTTTCTAAACTAAGGAATCAAAGAATAAACTAATAACATCATGTCCCTAACCCTTATCACATCACCTGGCACATAGGTAGAATAAATGATAAAGCTGGGTTAGGGATGTAATGGTTAATTTTATTTGTTAATTTGGTTAGGCCAGAATACCCAGCTATTTGCTCAAACATTGTTCTAGATGTTTCTGTGGATGTTATTTTACTCTCCATAATATGGGTGGGCATCCTCCAATCAACTGAACACCTTAACAGAAAGACTAATCTCCCAGGAGAGGGAATTCTGCCAGCTGATAGCCTTTGTAATCAAATTACAACTCTTCCCTGAATCTCAGTTTACCAGCCTACCCAGCAGATTTTGGACTTGCCAAAATTCCATAATTACAGCAGCCAATTCTTTAATATAAAGATCTCACTCTACAAATATACATCCTACTGTTTCTGTTCTCTGGAGAACCCTCATTAATACAAGGGTGTATCCTCTTTACCACAAAAGTAGGATACAATGACACAAAGAGTCACAAGCCCTTATTTAATATTCTCCAAGTGTATTTGCTTTGAAAAATTTTAAACAAACCATTTATTTTTTAGGTAGAGGAGTTATTTTAATAGTATTTTATCTGACAGAGCCAGGTTTAAAATTATAAGGCAGGGAAGAACAAACAAAAGACATTAAAAATAGAATACATTGAGTGATATTGGCCAAACTATATTGTTATATTGTGTACTGTGTGCATGTACAAATATGTAACAACAAATCCCATCAGTATGTATAACTATAACACACCAATAAAAAAATGTGGGGAAAGAAATAGAATGCTACTTCTTAGGCAAGATAATTTCTTGACAAATGCCTTTTTTGTTTCCTACATAATAAATCAAGTCAAAAGAAAATTATATTAGACTCTTTTTATTAAAATTATCAGCCAGCTTTCTAGAGACTATGAAAGAATACATTTAAAGCAAAGACAGTTTTATCAAAAATAATTAGTTATTTTAATTACCAAAAAATAATAAATATAATAAAGTATATATGACAATAAAAAGTTATCTCTTACCTCTTAGTTGAAAGACTCTTTGAAAACTTGCTGAAAAATTCTGTTTCTGTATCTTGGCTTTCAGCACTCAGTTCAAAATGGATTTGATTTTTGTCAGAAGGTTCAACATTCTGAAATGAAGTAGGTCATACTTTGAGATGTGACTTAAATAAAAACACCAGAGAATTCAATTTAGATAAAAAGTATCTCTGAAATACTGGGTAAATTGGTGGGGAAACTTCTGATTTCTGTAACTCTAACCTTCTTTTGTAAAATGTCCATTTCCCAGATCTGTAAGTGAAAGTTAAAACTCAATCACCTGTATTATGTAATTAACTCAGTAACCAGGACTTTAATGAATATAAAATAACTATAAACTGAGGATGACATTTAAAGAAAAATGATAAATGACATGTCTCTAAAATAGAAACAAATTATCAGAGATCATTTAAGATAATAATAACTACAATATGAGAACTGCTATAACCTATAAATGAACTCAAAAGATCAGAATGGATATACATGGTTATTTAGAGTTATTCAACTTTTTTTAATAAAATAAAGAATATTTTTATTTATTATTGATCTAATATAAATTTATTTATTATTGATCTAATAAAAAGAATTTCATTAAAAAATGATTTTTACACAAGGTGTACAGTGGTGCACACCTGTAATCCCAGTGATTTGGGAGACTGAGGCAGGCGTATCACAAGTTTGAGACTGCCTCAACAACTTAGCAAGGAACTATCTCAAAAAAAAAAGATGTGCGGAGTCAGGGGTGGACGGTGGGGGTGGTGAGACCAGGACATAGCTCAGTGGTACCATGTCCAATCACCAGTACAGCCAAACCAACAAACAAAAAAAAGTGGTCTTTAGGTGGGTGTGGTGGTACTTGGCTACAGACCCAGAAGCAAGACCTTTGTTTCAAAAAAGAAAAAGAAAATCAGTTTTTAAAATTTGGTACTGGAGATTGAGCCCAGGGACACATTACCACTGTACCATATCCCCAGTCCTTTTTATTTTTTTATTTTGAGACAAGGTCTCACTATTGTTAGGGCCTAGATAAATTATTGAGGCTGGCTTTAAATATGCAATCCTCTTGCCTCAGTCTCTCAAGTCATTGGGATTACAGGCATGTGCCACCATGCTGGCTAAATTTAATTTTATATGACACCTGTACTTTAAAAAAATCTTCTTTTTCTTTGATCATCCTTAATGAATTTCTATGTATTTTATTTTTTTCTATATATTTTAATAGATACAACTTCTTGGATTATATAAACACTGACTTTTAAGTGTGAAAACTTTATGTATTAGTTATATACATATTTTTAAAATAACAGTCAAGGCAAAGAAAATACTAAAATCACAAAATTAATTCTCACCAGTACAAAATGATACAACATATAAAAATTATTGACATATTCCTCAAAAATTTTAGAAAAACCCAGGCTAGGTATCTGTGGATAATCTTTTATCTTCTATTATAATTTGGTTCTAGACATACGGTCTAAGATTTACTGAACAAAAATTAACCATAAATGAAAAGTTAATATTCAATGATTGATGAAATTATTATTTTAAAGGGTAAGACCATTGGGCTTAAACCGCCAAAATGCAATTGGAAACAGTCATCAATGTAGGTGAGTAATCAAATCACTTACATTGAAAAGATGTAATGTTTCCTTGCTGGTCAGTAAATGAAATCGAAGCTCAGGTACTTTGTCATCACAAGGGAGGCATTCATAAAACTCAGGTTCCTTATGTGTCAAAGAATAAAGAACTATGATGAAATTTCCAGATTGTGAAAAAACCCTGGACAAAACAACAACAACAAAAAAAACCACCATTTAGTTAAAATTTAATAATGATAGTAAGATTATATTCAAAGAACTCTGAAGTAAGTCTCCCAATCTAATTATTAGATTAAGAAGAGAGTCCAAGTTTTTTAGTAGTTTTTTTTTTTAAGAGAGAGAGAGAGAGAGAGAGAGAGAGAGAGAGAGAGAATTTTTTAGTATTTATTTTTTAGTTTTCGGTGGACATAACATCTTTATTTTATTTTTATGTGGTGCTGAGGATTGAACCCAGCGCCCTGCTCATGCCAGGCGAGCATGCTACTGCTTGAGCCACATCCCCAGCCCTGGAGTCCAATTTTTTAAAGAGAACTGGGAAACAAACTTATGCCCATTTTAATATTATCAATTTTTTTACTTATTATTATTTTCTTATAGCTGTAGATGGACAGCATGCCTTTATTTTATTTGCTTATTTTTGTATTTGTTGCTAAGGATTGAACCCAGTGCCTCACACATGCCAGGCAAGTGCTCTGCCACTGAGCCACAGCCCCAACCCCAATATTATCAATTTTTAATTTAAGATATATTATGAAATAACTATATCTTATAAAAACATCAAACAAAACAAATGAATAAAATGAAAACTCCTCCTTGCCATTCTCCAATTTGGTGTGCAAACTTTCAGAACTCAATTTAATGCATATACATTTTGAATTTGGGTGCAGTGAACATCTGTACTGCCAGCTACTCAGGAGGCTGAGGTAGGAGGATCACTTGAGCCTAGGAGTTAGAGACCCATCTAAGCAACATAGTGAGACCCTATCTCAAAAAAAAAAAAAAAAAAAAAAGCACCCAGAATTTTACCTTAGGCATTCACAAACATTTTACATAAATTAACAAAAATGAGGCCTAACTATTGCAAATGCTATTTTTAAAAAACAATCTATTTTGTACCTTTTTCTATGCCACTATTCTACATTATACCTCAGACCTTATTTTTTCAGTGATTGCCCAGTATTACATTTTATAGATATGCCATTATTAATTCACCTAGACATTTAAAAATGGATATTTGTTTACCATATTCCACTATTATAAACCCTGATAAAATGGACATTAATTTTATTAGTCACACTAAATGATTCAATGAATGTATGTAAAGTCCTCAAGGGTTCTTAAAATATACACTAAACCAAAGCATCTAAACTGTATTTATTAGTTATCTCTACTTTGTAAAATAATAAATAAGAAATAACTTGGGGGCTAGGGTTGTGGCTTAGAGGCAGGACGCTCACCTACCATGAGTGAGGCACTGGGTTCAATTCCCAGCACCACATAAAAATAAAGATATTGTGGGGGGGGGGAGGTTGTGGCTCAGCAGTGGAGCGCTCACCTAGCATGTGCAAGGCCCTGGGTTTAATTCTCAGCACCACATAAAAATAAAATATTGTGTCCAACTACAACTAAAATAAATAAATAAATATATAGGTGAACACTATATATAGTGTCCACCTATAACTAAAAAACAATTATTAAAAAAATTAAAAAAAAATAACTTGGGGATGTTATACTACCAACAAAATAATGCAGAGGACAGAGAGGCATTCAGAATGCCTGTACTGCTTAGTTCCTTATTCTGAGGCCAGTTAAAATCACTATTCAGAATGTTGTAAAATTATAAATTAAATTGTAGCAGTAATTAAGAGTTCTGATATAAAAAAATCGCCCAATGCTTTAGACTAAACACAAAAAAAGAGATTCAAAATTAATTTTACTGAGCATTTACTATTAATATGAATTTAAAGTAAGATCAGTAATTGATAATAAATTTAGCTATACTAAATCATAACAAAAAATTGAAAACATTTGTTTTACTGCAAACAGAACTAATTCTTTTGCAAAGGTGAAATAAAAGTAGAAACTATAAAATCATCTAAAAAAAATGGGAAAGATTTTTTATTTCAATAATACTCTTAGTGAGGGCAAATCCTTTCTACAAAAGATGGAAGACTGATAAATTTGACTTAAGGCTGGGGATATAGCTCAGCTGGTAGAGTGCTTGCCTTGCATGCACAAGGCCTGGGTTCATTCCCCAGTACCACCAAAAAAAATTTGACTTAAAGTCTGACACTGAGGGTGAAGCTAAGTGGTAGAGCATTTGAGAAGTATGCTCTCAGGAACAAAATCAAAAGTCTGGGACAAAATACTGTTAACCAAAATGAATGTAATGACAATCTGGGGTGGGGTTTTAGCTCATGGTACAGTGCTTGCCTTGAATGTATGAAGCACTGGGTTCGATCCTCAGCAATACATAAAAATAAATAAATAAGATAAATGTATTGTGTCCATCTACAACTAAAAAAAATATTTTTTTTAAAAAATGACAATCTGAGAAAAATTTTTGCTATATATATTTTATGCACATACACATACATATAATATATAGCATATCTAATATGTATATAGAGAGCACACACATGTGTGCATGGGAGCAAGTGCAGAATGTTTGAATAAGAGAAAAATAAGAGCAAAAGTTCAATCTTACAAAGCGATATTAAAAAAATGAACAATCTACAAGAAAAATTTCAAGACAAGAATAGTCAGTTCCCATAAGAGGTAATAAAACACTGGGAAAAACCATTTCCATCTATTAGATTAGCAAAGATCAAAGTTTAACAATGGCCTCTGCTTATCTCCAAGCTCATCTCCTGCCCTCATCTCATCTCTCTAGCAACAACAAACTGCAACTCAACCTGCCACCTTTATTCATATACACATCCTTCCTCTTTTCTGGCTTTATTTTCCTTCAAAGCACTCACCACCTTTAAAAATGTGTTTTACTTATTTTGTTTAGTGCCTATTTCTGCAAGATCTTTATTTTGTTTACTGCTATCCCCAATACCATGAACAATGTTGGTACTGAATAAATATCTACATTTGTGGGGCAAAAAAAGCATTCTCATATACCATTGGAAGAATTATAAATTGAGAGTCTTTCAGAAGGGAATTTGACAATATCTACCAATAATTTTAAAATATATCAAAATCTTCTTTGGCCCAGAGAAACACTTTTAGGAATTTATCCTACAGATATATTATTATATGCATACAAAGATGTATGAGTGCTGGGTGTGGTTGTGCATACCTATAATCCCAGCAACTTGGGAGGCTGAGGCATAAGGACTAAAAGTTCAAGGCCAGCCTTAGCAACTTAGTGAGGCCCTAAGCAACTTAGCAAGACCCTAACTCAAAATAAAAAATGAAAAGGACTGGGGATGTGGTCCAGTGATTAACAGCCTCTGGGTTTAATCCCCCAAAACAAACAAAAAGATATGAGTAATGTGTTCAGTCTTCTATTGTAAAAGCAAAAGGACCAGTTTTTTGAAGCGTAACATATATTTTATACCATTCAGTTGTTAAAATATGTGTATTAAGTCTGTATATGCTAAGATATAATGATCTCCAAGATATAGGGGAAAAAAAGCAACATACAGAAAAGGAAGAATGGAATACTCTCAATTGTGATTTAATTTTTATAGACTGAAGGAAAGTGACACTTGTCTACATGTTAAATATTTCAGGAAGGAAGTCAAGATACCATTTAACAATAATTGCCCCTGAAAATGAGGTCTGGGGGAGATTTCCTTTTACTGTATATCTTTATATTCATCTAATTCATTGCCATGTACTTGGATTGACTTTTCAATGAAAAGTTATTTTTAAAAAAGTCTATTTCAGCCAGGCATGGTGGCACAAACAGGACTCATAAGGCTGAGGAAGGAGGATTTCAGGTTCAAGGCCAGCTTCTGGAACTTAGCAAGGCCTTAAGCAACTTAGCAAGATCCTGTCTCAAAATATAAAAAAAGAATGGGAATACAGCTCAGTGATAATGTGCCTCTGGGTTCAATCACCAGTACCAAGAAAAAAGTGTCTATTAACAGACAGACAATAACAAACGGACTCAATTAAAAGATAAAGACACTAAGAAGCAAATAGTGGCATCACGTACAAAATAAATTAAAGAGAAGTTGATTTAGACATAAAGTTTCCCTGTTAATTCTAATACTTATGCTTTAAGTTCTAGGAAGAAAATTAAATATCTCAAGTATTTTTTCTTAGTGTACTAGTAGTAGCATAGTGTAACTTAAATAAAACACTTGTAAAGGAACAAATCCAAAATCATTTCTAATCAACTAACTGAAATCATTTCATCTAACTGAAAGTCAATGTCTTTATTTGTAAAGTAGAATGCTATAACAGATGATCTCTAGGTGTTTTCCCACCCTAAAAATGGTATCTTCTGTGGTGAGGCAAGAAAATTGCTCATAATTCCCAGGTATAATGCCACCTCATCTTTTTTGCTCAGCTTTATTCCCATTTAATATAAAGTATGTTTTCCTTAGGTACTTATTTAGAAGTATTATAAGTGATTAAAGCAAGTACATGAATTTTAAGTGAAACCAATAAAATTATAATCAAAGATAAGATCAAAGTAAAATACGACAGAATAAATTATCACTTGCCTTTCTTGAATAGAAGAACTGAACATGTATCGCAAGCAGCAAGCCCAAACCTGAGGACTGTAGATATGTATAATTCCAGCCAACCAACTGAAAAAAAAAAAAAGAAATTAAAACTATAGTCATTTACAAATTAACATACTTTAGATTACATCCTTCTCAAGGTAATTGGTAGAGCCCTTGACATTTACGAGCAATACATTAAAGTTTTCATAATTAATACTGACAACTTAGAGAGAGAATATATAGATATCTGTAGCAATGTATCTACAAATGTAGAGAAAAAGAGAAAAACAAGTACATGTTTCTTTCTCTCTGTCCTCTTCCACCTGAGATGTGAGAGAGAAAAGGGTTCATAGAGGTGAGGAGGAGGGAAGAATGAATTAGTATAGATTGGAAAGAATGGGCTGAATTAGAGGAGACCAACATTTGTAACTGAAAACTTTGTTGAGAGAATCAAGTGCTGTAACACATATAGGTAGCCTTAAAATATAGAAGGCTCTTAATAAATATGTACTCAGGCATCAATAACCCAAAGCCTATACCAGAACTGTAGCAAACAGACTGTAAGTAGGTTTCATGGTCCAGAGACATATGTGTATTCTCATTAACTTTGCACATGCCATTCCTTCACATGGATGCTCTTTCCTACTAATCCTCTCTTCTACTATCCAAACAAGTAAAATTCCAACATGAATTTACCTTTTGTAAGAAAATCTCCCCCATCATTTCTCTTACAAATACTAATAGGTATTCATTGTCTGTATTACTGAATTCACAATAAATCATATACATCATTATTTTTCTATGTGTGAATATTTGACTATTTCACCACCTCCCTTTAATTATAAAGTACTTAAGAAGGAGCTTTAAACTACAACACAGTAGCAAACATAATGCTATGAATAAGGAAAGTTTTCAATAAATAATGAATGAATATAACTTTTTGAATAATCTGTCTAAATGTCATTAACCACTAACTCTAATGAAAGAGTCATTAACACTAAAGGGAATTTCTGCAAAACTGCCTGGCAGTGAATTTTAAGTAGTGTTATTTTGATCCCTGGGTTCTTCAAGTAACCTTAAGGACAATGAGTAGTAAGAGAAGGTTGAAGAAAAAGGGCTTCTAGGTCTTCAACCAGAAGAATTCAATTTTACATGTTTTATATATGAAATTCTTCCTAAGACTAGGAAAAATCTTATTTTAGCTAAACGTGCAAACAAGAGAACTTCCACTGGCTTGAGTGCCCAGTGGAACATGTCTGTAATCCCAGCAGCTCAGAAGGCTAAGGCAGGAGGATCAGAGTTCAAGGCCAGCCTCAGCAACTTAGTGAGACCTCATCTCAAAATACAAAAAATAAAAAGGACTAAAGAACTGGGGTTGTAGCTCAGTGGTTAAGTGAACTTAAATACCAAACCCCCCCCCCAAAAAAAAACCACTGGCCTTTGTGATTTTGTAAGATGATCTAAATACTCACAGTACAACTTGATTGACATGCTTATCATATACATTTTAGACACATATTTGGCTGAAAAGATTTTCATAAATGTAAATTACTTACATTCCCACTAATGGTAGAGAACAAACCTTGGGATCAGATTCCAATAAAAGTAACAATTTGCGTGTTTCATCCATGGTAAGATATCTAAACAGAAGACATTAATGTAAAAATAATTAAAAGTATGTATTTTTCACCTAAAAAGAACAATTCAAGTTACGAAACATATTTTAGATAGGGGACACAATTCAAATGACAACTGCCTCTTACACATATATAAACACAAACAGTTCTAAGTGTTAAACTCAACCTAAAAAAGACTCTGGTAAGATGGAAAGATTAAGAAAATTTAGTAACTTAAAACTTATAGCCACTACTATGGCACACGCAAATCCCAGTGGTTTAGGAAGCTGAGGCAGGAGGATCACGAGTTCCAAGCCAGTCTCAGCAATAGTGAGGTGCTAAGCAACTCAGTGAGTCTGTCTCTAAATAAAACATAAAACAGGGATGGCAATGTGGCTCAGTGATTGAGTGCCAAGTTCAATCCCCAGTATTCAAAATAAAATAAGGCCTGGAGATATAGTTCAGCGGTAAAATACCCTGTGTTCAATCTCCAATCTCTATATTGTTGAGAATTGTTGAGTGATAACATTACTATTATGGCTTTATATCACAGAAATAAAAACAATGGCATTAATGATATTAAATCTTAATAGTACCACAGATTTTTATATATATATATATGTATATATATATATATATTTTTTTTTTTGGGGGGGAGGGATCTGAGGATAATATATCTTATTCCTACAATAACCCTAAAATACAAATATAATAAATTAATCAACAATGATGATTAAGTTGGAATTGGTTTAAACTTATGTACCAACAATGACACATGTGCTTTAAAAATTCTCCCCTACCTTGTCCACCTGATAAATTCCAATTCCTATTAAAAGAATTAATTTAAATTTTCTATGATTTTCCCAGGCAATTCAGACATACCTTACTGCCTTCCTAGCACTGTTCATAAACCTCTATTATATATAGCACATGGTGTTTAAAAGTCAATACATTTAATGTACAAGTAAAAATCTATTTTTAGTTCCTACACAAATACCTATTCTATAATGGATTCTAATATAAATAGTAGAGTGAAAAAATGAATATGGTTGGAAAAAAGGACAAATGTCACAAATTTAATAGACAATTCTCAACAGGAGATGGCAAGGGGAAAAGGCAATTGAATAGCATGCTAAAGGATCCTGGATGAATAATTCAAAAAGAGAAGCACTTCATTATTCCAAAGAAATTAAATGTAACATTTTTTGATCATTACGATTTGATCATTCCAAGACTTTGTAATGCAGTAACACTTATGCCACTCCAATCAGCAAGCACACTCTGGAAAGAATATGGGAGTCAAAATGGGGCCTTTCTTGCTACTTCAGGGACTTTGTTGAGAATTGTTGAGAGATAACAACAATTTTTTTTTCATCCTTTTTTGAAGCAGAATTTTTAGAGGATAAGAGTTGGAGTTGAGTATACCTTGGCAAACTTTCTTGCCTCCATAGACCTAACAGGAACTAGGGTGGAGTAGTGGGAAAGGAAGCGAGAAATATAATCCTTCAAGCTACCTCTGGTCAAACTTTAAAGCACAGGGTGCCTACATTGTCTAACCTAGTTCAGTAGACAATAAATAAAAGAAATGAGGATTCAGGGAAGCAGCTCTGCTTGTGTTTTGGCTTGCATTTTCCAAGACACTAAGGAATAGGAAGCTGGAGAGGTTTCTGCTCCAGTTTTGTGAAGGAACTCCACCCTCAAGAAGCTGACATTTTGGTAAGCCAGAGTATTACAAATTTTTATTTAATTGCTTCTTTCTAAACTTGCATTGCTTGTTATTCATAGTTAAGACTGCATATTACAAATAAATTCACCAGACTCTGTTAGGTTCATAGTCAGATTATAGTTGAAATAAAATAATTCAGACAATAATGTTAGGCAAGTGATTCTACCAGAGCCATATCCCCAGATCCACAACTAATTTTAATATGATTTTTACTACTAATTTTTGTAGAATAGTGGGCACAACTCTGAAAGAAAGCTTTATTATATTCAGCAAAACTTAATTGGTTGGGGTTGTAGTTTGGTAGTAAAGCATGTGCTTATTAGTATTTGTGAGGCCCTAGATTAAATCCCCCCACTCTAAAAAACAAAACAACCCCTCCCCGAAAACCAACCAATTAACAACTTCATTTTAACAGACTCTACCTGACTACGCATATATTGTGTATGTGGAGATCCTCAAAAAATACTAATATAGGTTTAGCAACGATGGAGGAATGTGATGGACATCATTATCCAAAGTACATATATGAAGACATGAATTGGTGTGAACATACTTTATATACAAACAGATATGAAAAATTGTTCTATATGTGTAATAAGAATTGTCATTAATTCTGCTGTCATGTATTTAAAAAATAAAACCAATTAAAAAATACTAATACAATCAATATGTAAATTTTTAGAATAATATATCTTTTACTTACCCATATTTATATGTCCCTTGAACTTGAGAAATATTCCAGTTACTGCTCAAATTTCTTGCCAGAGCTGTTGGAATAATGGGGATGGGCTTCACAGGTGCACATTTAAAGTTATTTGCTAGAGTTACAGCTGTCCAGTGCAAGTCAAAATCCACATTGTCCAAATTCTCCCTGGAAGTAATATGAGCTCTTAGGAAAAGCAGCTTACCACAGTCCAAGGAATCTTTGCTACATACATGGTGCTGTAGAGCCTAAAAAAAATCAATATTATACAATTATTTAAAAATTCTGAATTGTGTTTGTTTTTTTACTTGTTTATTTTTAGTTGTTGATGGACTTTATTTTTATTTATTTATTTATATGGGGTGCTGAGGATCGAACCCAGGGCCTCACACATTCGAGCAGGAGCTCTACCACTGAGCCCCAGCCCCTTGTGTTTATATTTTTAAAGTTTATCTTACACTGGTGCATATACACATATAAAAAAGAAGACAAAAATGGTCTTGCATTCCTTAAAAGAGCGTACTACAGGGATACTGCCACATCGATGTTCATAGCAGCACAATTCACACTTGCTAGACTGTGGAACCAACCCAGATGCCCTTCAATAGATGAATGGATAAAAAAAATGTGGCATTTATACACCATGGAGCATTACGCAGCACTAAAAAATGACAAAATCATGGAATTTGCAGGGAAATGGATGGCACTAGAGCAGATTATGCTTAGTGAAGCTAGCCAATCCCTAAAAAACAAATACCAAATGTCTTCTTTGATATAATGAGAGCAACTAAGAACAGAGCAGGGAGGAAGAGCAGGAAGAAAAGATTAACATTAAACAGAGACATGAGGTGGGAGGCAAAGGGAGAGAAAAGGGAAATTGCATGGTAATGGAGGGAGACCCTCATTGTTATACAAAATTACATATAAGAGGTTGTGAGGGGAATGGGAAAATAAACAAGGAGAGAAATGAATTACAGTAGATGGGGTAGAGAGAGAAGATGGGAGGGGAGGGGAGGGGGGATAGTTGAGGATAGGAAAGGTAGCAGAATACAACAGTTACTAATAGGGCATTATGTAAAAATGTAGATGTGTAACCGATGTGATTCTGCAATCTGTATTTGGGGTAAAATTGGGAGTTCATAACCAACTTGAATCTAATGCATGAAATATGATATGTCAAGAGCTTTGTAATGTGTTGAACTGAACAACCAATAAAAAAAAAACGGTCTTGCATTAACAAAATTAGTTTTGATTTGCAACATTTCAATTCTCATTTCTTCTAAGCAATCAAAAGAAAAAGTGAGTTGGGTGCAATGGCACACACCTGTAATCCCAGTGGCTCAGGAGGCTGAGCAGGATCCTGAATTCAAAACCAGCCTCATCAATTTAGCAAGGCCTTAAGCAACTTAGCAAGATCCTGTCTCAAAATAAAACAATAAAGGGCTGGCAATGTTGCTCAGTGATAAGCACCCCTGGGTTTAATACTGGTACCAAAAAAAGATAAAGTGAATAACTACATCAAAGCAAATAAGACTTCTGTTCCAAGCTCATCATGGATTTCCAACTTATATATCCTAGCAGCACTTCAAACTCTTGATGGGGAATGTTACCCCCAATATATATTTACTGAATGGAAAAAAATGGATGCAAATTAGTTCTGATTCAGCCTTACAGAATCGCAAGATGATTTCTTTTCAATTCCTTTCTTGTAATCCCAATTATCAAGTCAGTTCTTCCTCTGTATTTGCTGAAGCTTACTGTGTTCTTTTCTAGTCTTAATGCTACCGCTTTATTATACGATAATGGATCCCTCTCTAATATAAATCTGGCAACTGAAATGGCCGTTTAACTATTCTCTCTGACTTCAGTCAGTTTGCCCTGTCAGGTTAAATCAGTTCCCGATTGTACAGTATTTCCTCTTTTCAGAAACCTTCAAAGGCTACATGGCCCATATGACAAAGTTTAAATTCCTTAACATGACCATCAAGGCTCTTTATAATCTTTCCAAATTAATACTCTAGTTTGATTGCCCACAAATTCAGCAAAAATCTACACCCTTGGGCTGGGGCTGTAGCTCAGTGGTAGGGTGCTTGCCTTGCATGCATGAGGCACTGGGTTCGATCCTCAGCACCACATAAAAAAAAAAAAATAAACAAATAAAATAAAGGCATTAAAAAAAAAAAATCTACACCCTTACTATTAGCCTGGGCACATTCTAAACTTTATCTTGGTCCCGCTGCTTCCTCTTCCAGATTCCTCTTCCAGAATGCTATCCATATCGTCTACCTAGGACTCCTGCCCTCAGAAACCCATATTTAATTGGATTTTAGCTCCACAATAGTTTATTTTTTAATTTTTAAATTTTTTAGTATTAGGGTTTGAACCTAGGGTCACTTTACTACTGAACTACATCCCCAGTCCTTCTTATTTTGAGACAAGGCAATTTCCTAAGGATCTCATTAAATTGCTGAGGCTGGCCATGAACTTGTGATCCCTCCTGCATCAGCTTCCCAAGTCACTGGGATTACAGGTGTGTGCCACCATGCCCAGCTCCACAATAATTTAATCAGAAATATATTTTAATGGGTTTATTAAAATACTACATACTATATATAGTGTGATTCTCATTAAATTAAGAATAATAAAGTTATCAATATCACCTTAAAAGTTGAACTGAAGTCATCTACATCATGAACAATCATTTCTCTTGAACAACATCCTTGAGTATGAACTTTGCAGGGGATCACAAAGTCTCCAGGAAGAGAAGCAGTAGGGGTTCTTTCTAAGCATTCAGGTACTTCTCGACCAGGGTCAAAGCGATCTACTGTCAATGTAACACCTTCTTCATCTGAAGAAAAAAAATAATTATTTACAGCATGCTAATTAAACACATAAATCACTTTAGCAAGGCTACTTTGCTAATTATAGCAAAGCACTTTGCTCATCCAGTAGCATATTATCATTTTATATAAAAATGACTTGTTTATATATTCTACCCAACTAGATTGTAAAGACTGTGAAGAGCAGTTTTCTTCATATCCTTGGTATACAGGAAAAAAAAAAAAAAAAAAAAACAACACACAAAGCATATGCAATAGCTGTCTGAATCAATAAATGTAAATTCTACTATAGGCATCAAATAATTTTCTAAAGTATATTACCTTCATCTACTGTGAGAGAACCAAGTAAAAAGCATGGCACATTTTTTTTATTCTGTTTAGCATGACGGTAAGCAAGTCGAAGGGTCTTTTCAGTCACCACAAGCTTTGGATTTCTGAAAAATAACAAGTCTTTTATGAATAGTAGATTTGATATCCTTAAATAACCCTCATTGTGAAATACTGCCTAAAACATAAAGCACAATTTTTAAAATGTACAGAAAGATCATTGTCAGGAAATCCCAAGGACAAAGGCAAGGAGTAGAAAGGGCCACCTGGAAACTAAAATAATAATAATAACCTGATACACAAGGTATTTGTCCTTTAGGAATTTGGTTAACTTTATGAACCAGAGCACAAACTGACAAACTATGAGGCCAATTTTTTTGATGGAAAGTTATACTCATTGCTTACAATACTATTGTAAACAAAATAAAGTTTGATTGAAACAGTCATACCCATTTGTTTATAATAGTATTATCTATGAACTACAGATAATAGCATTATTGAATACAAAATAAAATGATTAAAATATTTAAAGAAATACAAGAGGGAAACCAAAATACGATTCAGGAACAAGAAACTATGAAAAAAGATCAGATGAAAAGGAAGTATATAGAATTTGCAGAAGTAAAAAATATATTCACTTAAAACCTAAATGGATTAGGGCTTGGGCTGAAGCTCAGTGGTAGAATGCTTGCCTAGCAAGTGTGAGGCACTGGGTTAGATCTTCTGCACCACATAAAAATAATAAATAAATAAAATAATAAATAAATAAAATTTTAAAAAATTTCAATGGATTATATAATCAACTGGGTATAGATACATGAATGTTTATTTGTTTTGATACTGGGAATTGAACCCAGGGTGCTTTGCCACTAAGTCACATCTGAGCCCTTTTTATTTTCTATTTATTTTTGTTTTGTTTTGATTTTTTTGGAGTTATAGATAGACAGCATACCTTTATTTTATTTATTTTTTTGTAAGTGGTGCTAAGAATAAAACCCAATGGCTCACACACACTAGGCAAGCATTCTGCCACTGAGCCCCAGCCCCAGCCCTTATTTTTATTTTGAGACAGGTTCTCACTAAGTTGCTGAGGCTGCCTCGAACTTGCAATCCTCCTAGAAGCCTCTGTCTCCCAAGTTGCTGGGATTACAGGCATGTGCTACCCTACCATTCATAGTTGTTTGTTGTTATTCTGATATATATAAAAATGTTGTTTATATATATTATAAACATTCTCTCACATATATGGTATGTACTTCTACATTTAAAAAACCTAAATGGGCTAATGTATAGCTCAGTGGTAGAGTGTTTGTCTGGCACATATGAGGCTCAGGGTTTGATCCCCAGTTCTACAAAAACAAAAGCAAAAACAAAAAACTAAACCCTAAATAAACAGGTTAGATGGCAGCTAAGCACAGCTAAAGAAAACATTAGTAGGGCTGGGATTGTGGCTACTGGTAGAGAGCTTGCCTAGCATTTGTGAGGCACTGGGTTCAATTCTTAGCACCACATATAAATAAATGAATAAAATAAAGGTTCATCAACATCTTAAAAAAAAAGAAAACATTAATACAGTTGAGAAACAAATTACTCAAAACATAGCACAGATGGGGGAAAAAAGACAGGTTAAGAAACATGGAGAAAAGGATGAACAGGTCTAACAAATATTTAACTAAACTTCTACAAGATTCTCCCCATTTTTTTCAATGGTACCACTATTCTCTGCCAACTAGTTTAGAACCTAAATACTTTTTTTTACTTTTATCTCTCCTTCAGTCACTCTATTCAGTCAATCATCAAATGCCATAAAATCTTTTCAAAACATCTTATTTTGTTCTTTCCTTTTGATCTGAATACTACTACACTATTCACAGATACCATTTATTGAATACTTTCTATTGTAGGCGCAGTGTCAGCTGCTTTACAAAACCTGTCTTATTTATTCTTTATAAGAGAACTATGAGGGGGGCTGGAGGTATAGCTGAGTGGTAGAGCACTTGTCTAGCATGTGTGAGGCCTGGGTTTAATACCCATCACAAAAAACAAAGGTACTATGAAATAGGTATTATAGCCATTTTATAAGGAAACTAAATTCTTGATACTTTTTTTTTTTTTTAGAGAGAGAGAGAATTTTTTAATATTTATTTTTTAGTTTTCGGCGGACAAATCATCTTTGTTTGTATGTGGTGCTGAGGATGAACCCAGGCCGCACACATGCCAGGCGAACGCGCTACCGCTTGAGCCACATCTTCAGCCCCAATTCTTGATACTTAATATACTGAGGTCACATAAATCAGTTGTAGAATCAGGATTTCAGACTAAAGGCAGTATGATTCCAGTTATAATACCTTAAACCACTATGGCATAAATCTATGATTATATAAAACCATCTCATGGCTAAGCTGACTCTAGGCTTTCCCCAGTACAAGCCATCCTTCTTAGACTACTGCTTTAAATAAGTAGGTGCTTATGTATAAAATATCAATGAACCAATTTTCAATTACTTTAAGTATAAACTTCTATGTCTTTTGTTTAAGATCCTGAACAAAACCACCATATTTTATATTTATTCCTTCTAATGTGATCTACTTAAAATCAGTTCAGTCTTCTCAATATCCTCCAAAGACAACATGCTGAAGTATGAGGAAAAACACTTTTAGTTTTTATCATATTTCACATTTTTTTAACTCCAACAATACTCAGAACTTTAAATTTTCAGAATATTTTAACTATGAGATTAAGATTACTCCTCAAAAAGATGAAATTTTTGTCTGTGAAGAGCTTTTAGTGGAAAAGTAAAGAAAAATGAATACAGATTGAGTGTCCCTTATCCAAAATGTCTGGGACCAGAGTGTTTCAGATTTTGAGCCATTTGCATATAGATGAGATATCCTGAGGATGAGATCCAAGTCTAAACATGAAATTCATTTGTTTCATATACGTCTCATACACGTCTCATACACATAGTATAAAGGCAATTTTATACAACTGTGTTGTATGTCTTCATTTTGATTGTGACAAGGCACATTTGAGTTAGATGTGGAATTTTCCATGTTGGCACTCATGGAAATTTTGGAGCATTCAGAACTTTGGATTTGGGGATTAGGGACACTCAACCTACAACTGGTCATAATAATCAACTTTCCTTGCATATCCTTTTATGACTCATGTTTATACTAGTTTGATTTGAAAAGAGAAACATCTTATACCTGTAGTGATTGAGATGTAAGCAGATGAAATCTCCAATTGGCATTGGGTTCCAAAGTGCATACTTTGATGGAGGAAAGTGGAAAGGTACTATCTTGCTTGAAGGAAACCTTTTCAAAAAAATAATTTATAATTAAACCACAAGGAAAAGCAAACTTGGTAGAAATTTTATAAAGAACAGTTATTCATCTCTTACAGGAACAGGAAGATGAGCCCAGGAGCTTGAGGCAATCAAAAAAAAAAAAAAAAAAAAGGATAAAGGTGCTGAATAATACAAAAAGTAAATGCTGGCATGGTTATGATGGTTATGGAGAAGTAGGAACTCCTACAGACAGTTGTTGGGAATGTAAATTGGTATGGCCACTATGGAAAACAGCATGGAGTTCCTCAAAAAAAATTTTTATGTTGGTACCAGGGACTGAACTCAGAGGCTCTCAACTATTGAGCACATCCCCAACCCTATTTTGTATTTTATTTAGAGATAGGGTCTCACTGAGTTGCTTAGAGCTTGGCTTTGAATTGCAGATCTCCTGTTTTAGCCTCCAGAGCCACTGGGATTACAGGCATTCGCCACCACACCTGGGGAGTTCCTCAAAATATTAAAAATAAAGCTACCATAAGATCCAGCAATCTGGGGCTGAGGCTGGGGCTGAGCGGTGGTAGAATGCTTGCCTAGCACGTGCGAGGTGCTGGGTCTGATCCTCAGCACCACATAAAATAAATAAATAAAATAAAAATATTGTCTCCAACTAACTACAACTAAAATATATATATATTAAATTTAAAAAGATCCAGCAATCTATTGGATACTATCCAAAGAAAATGAAATCAGTTTGTCAGAGAGATTATCTGTATTCCTATGCTTACTGCAGTACTATTCACAATAACTAAAATTTGTAATCAAATTAAGTATTCATCAACAGATATAGAAAATGTGGTGTGCAACACTACTTAACTGTTTAAAAAAAAAGAAAAGAAATCCTGTCATTTGTCCTAAAATGGATGAAACTGCAGAACACTATGTTTAAGTGAAATAAGCCAGACAGAAAAACAAAGACTGCATGATCTTACTCATTTGTGGAATGGAAAAAGCCAATCTCACAGAATTACCTGGTAGAATAATGATTATCAGAGGCTGGAAAAGGTAGGAGGAAAGAGATGACTAGGAAGAGATTATTCAATGAGTACAAAATTACAGTTAGTTGGAGTAAATTCTGGGGTTCTATAGCACAGCTGGGTAACTTATCAACAATACTGTAGCATATATTTCAAAATAACTAGGAGAGAATTTTTAATGCTCTCACCAAAAAGAAAAGATGTTTGAGGTAATGGATATGCTAAATACTGTGATTTGATAATCACACAAAATATATACATATTATTCAAAACATCACATTGTATCCCATAAACATGTACAGTTATTATATATCAATTAAAAATAAAATAAAGCTAAAAAACTAAATAAATACATAAAATGGAGGCTGGTTGGGAAAGGAAGGTAAGGGAATAAAGGAGGAGGAAAAAAAAACAAGAAGTCTACCAACTAATTTCTTGGAGTCTAAATTTGCAAGCTATGTGACCTTGCTCAAGTTAATTACCTCTCTTTGACTCAATTTCCTCATTTGTTAAACTGGGGTATCAATGCTTCTTTACCATTACACTAAATATTAAATAAGTCAATATATATAAAGTGCTTAAAATAATTCTTATTTTATTGTAAGTACTCTCAGCGTTAGCTCTTTCTTTTTCACTTTTAGGAGTCCACAATACCTTTAAAGCCCAACCTATGATATTCAGGTTTACTTACTTCAGAGCATAGGGAAGAAGTGAAGTCAGGTTTAAATCTCAGGATTTAACTATATTACTTACTAACTGTATGACTTTGGGTTGACTAGTTTCTCTATGCCACAAAATTTTCTCATTTAAGGGGGGGGAAAAGTATGGGTAATAATGACACTCATCTCATAGTTTTCTTGTGAAGATTAAAGAATAATACATGCACTGGACTTGGCAGCACATTCCTATAAAGCCAGCCACTCAGGAGGCTAAGGCTGGAGGATTGCAAGTTCAAGGCTAGCCTGAACTTAGCAAGGTACTGTTTCAAAATAAAATAAAAAGGGCCGGGGAAGTAGCTCAGTGGAAGGCGCCCCTGGGTTCAATTCCCAGTACTGCCCCCCTCCAAAAAAAGAATAATGCATGCAAAGCGCTTAGCATGGCACCAGATACATAGTAAGACTTCAATAAATGTTGTTATTAGTCTTTTTCTTACTCTGGAGTCTGTATGTAGTCTTTGGAGGGAAGAGAGACACAAACTGAACCTTGCAGCCTGAAACTGGGTGCAAACATTTGCATGTATGTATGAACTACTTTTTCTTAGGAAATAAAGATACATGGCTTTTATCAAAACTCAAAAAGGGGCTCTAACTCCCCTCCTAAACACATATACAAATTAGAACTGCCGCTCTAAATTCCAGAGATCATACAAAACCAGAGGTCCGTAAATAAATAAAAGAAATTAGAGTTAAGAACTATCGAGTTTAAATCATATGATTAAATATCTTATATAGAACGTAAGGAATGAATTTGACCCTTGTTACACAACTGTACCTTTCAAAGAATAGCAGTTGACAAACATTCAAAGAATAAGAGGTGGCAGTGGGATAGAACAGAAGGGCCAAAATTAAGGCAAAAGAAATCTGATAGCTTTCTTGGGTCATATTTCCCATTGTCTTTCAAGAAAATCTGGCACAAAGGAAGATAATACAGAGAATAAAGGTACCCCATGGGTATAAGTGTAGTTTGAAAGAAAAAAAATTCACATGTCAGCATTAATTATTCTTCCCTAGGGGAAAAAGAGCAATAAATGATTCAAAGAGCCAGAAAATATAAGCCAATTTGCCTGAACCCCCAAAGTAATGACAGATTGAGAAAATCAGAAGACAGGTGGCAAGCTCCTCCTTCTCACTATACATTACTAGTAAAGGCATAGAGAAGTTTGAGGAAACCTGGAATATTCAATGTAAAATAATTCCAAACAAGGAATTACTGTTTAGAAAAGGAAAAGAACCCAACCACTTTCCCATTTGTTTAGATATAAACAAACACCAATATAATTTTAAGCCTCAGGAGTTCAAGTACTATTTCCTATCAATAAGAGATATCTTCTGGAACTGAAATAAATGGAGAGAGTGTAACTAATAATTTACCGAGTACCTACTATGTGCCAGATGCTTTTAGTAATCTTATTTATCCCTTCTCAATATTCTTGTTTTGCAATTATCATCCCCATTTTACAAATGAGAAACAGAGGCTTAAATTAATGAACTTGGGTCAGTCACTTAATAAGTGGTAGAGCTGGGATTATATGCCCAGATTTTTATGATAAGGATTATATTCTTTCTTCTCTTGCAGTTTACCTTCTTAAGTTAATGTAAGCAGTTAAGAAAAAACATTTTGTAAAAATATTTCTATACCTGGTATTCATCTGGGGTCTTGCAAGAAGATATGTAGGCTCCATAACATTTGTAAATGATGTACTTAACTTCAAATCTTCAGTATCCTAAAGAAATAAGAAATATGATTTAACCATACTTTAACAAAATTGCAGGCAAAATTAGGTTATTTATATTAAGTATAACTATGTAGTTATAAAATTAAATGCTTGTAGATTCTGCTGATCATTTTCATTCTTTGGAGACATTCTGCCTATAAATTAGTGTTAATATTTATTTTAGGCAACAAAATCTATGTATTCACTAAGGAAAGCACAGATTTTGCCACAAAATCTTTTATCAACTCCAGCTTTGAGCTGGACAGGATAAGTAGTATTTAATACAAGAAATTTTTAGCAAAAACTTTATTAGTCTACCACAGAGAGGAAAACTTACAAGCCTATAACAAAGTCATCAAGGAACCTTCAGTCCTGTGGCAATAAAAGATAAATATTGTATCCCCAGAAACTGACTTATACCTCTGAAAAAAAAATCAGTGTTCTTTTTTTGGATCCATATGCATGCCCCCTCTCAGTATTCTAATTCACTCCCATGTGTGCAAACCTTCAGCTTCCACTTCTTTCCTGAGTTTCAAACCTACATTTCTAATTGCTCACTGAATAGCTTCTTCTAAATATTTCTGAAGTATGCGCAGGGCGTGGAGGTGCACACCTGTAATCCCAGCAGCTCAGGAGTATCACAAGTTCAAAGCCAGTCTCAGCAACTTAGTGAGGCCCTATCTCTAAATAAAATATTTTTTTAAAGGGCTGGGGATGTGGCTCAGTTGTTAATTGCCACTGGATTCAATTCCTAGAACCAAAAAAATTTAAATAAATAAATAAATATTTCTGAAGTAAAATACAGACCTCATAGCCCTTTCTTTATAGTTCAGTATTTTCCATATATTTTTAAGTCTTACAGTTTTTTAGGTTTTGTGCATTGTTCCAATTCCACACAAAGGAATTGTCTGAAGCAAGATAAGGTAGGGAAGGGTTACTAATGTAAGTGCAAAAACCATTTAGAAAAGACTTTTTTTTCCTTTTTTAATAAAATCTGAGGCTGGAAATATAAGAATAAAATCCTATTGGCCCTTGTAAGGTTGGCTAAAAAGTCCCTATTAGAGATATCTGCAACATCTATGGAATGCAAGATTTTAATTCCACAGCCCTTATTTTAAAAATTTTTAATGTTTTTTTTCTTTTATTAGTGCATTATAGTTGCATATTAATAGTTGGGTTTATTTTGACATAATCATACATGCATAGAATTTAATTGATTCCATTTCAGTCCCCAGTTCCTCATTCTCCCTCCCCACCTCTCTTCTTCTCCTTTCTCTACACTACTGATTTATCTTCCACTTATTTATTTATTAGTGCTTTATAGGTATACATAAAGGTGGAATTCACTATAGTATAGTTATACATGCACATAGCATAATTTTGTCCAGTTTAGTCCCTATTTCCTCTCCTTTCTTGTCCCTCCTCTCTCCCCCTCAAAATCTCCTCATACTTTACTGACCTTCCCACCATATTTATAATATTCCCCCCACCACCACCCTTCTATAGCAGTTGGTTGTCATGGATAACAGTATATAGAGTAATAAAAATACCTCTCTAAAGTATACAAAATAGCTTCTATTTCCTTCATTAAACAGAAGTGTTTTAAAATTCCATATTTGTTTCTTCTTCCTTTGTGCATGAGGGTGAAGAGATGGAAATTATTGATCCAATTCTCATTTTAAAACAAAAAACAGTGGCTGGGGTTATAGCTCAGTGATTTAGCACTTGCCTAGCACAATGTGAGGCACTGGATTCAATCCTCAGCACCACATAAAAATAAATAAAATAGAGGTATTGTGCCCATATACCACTAAAAAAAAAATTCTAAAAAACATACATAAGGTAGTTTATTCCAACAGTATTACATAAGAAATTGAAACTAAAACCACAAACACCTATTCCTAGCAAAACATATTCTTCCCTGGTAATGGCACCATCATGTATCAAAGAGAACCATCAAGTCATCCTCATGTCTTCTCCCATATAAATTACTTTTCCATACCACCCTTCATCAGCTTTCACTAGATTTACTGAAAAGTTTCCCATTGTTGTTAGAAGTTTACCTGAATAAATCAGATCAAGTTATTTTCATGCTTAAAAAGTCTATGGCTCTAAATAATAATGAAATTATGGCATCTGCAGAAAAAAACGATGGAACTAGAGACAATTATGTTAAAGGAAATAAGTTAAACTCAGAGGGTTAAGAGTCGTATCCTTCTCTCATATATGGAAGCTAGAGAGGAAAAAGGCAAACAAAAGTGGGAGTAGATCTCTTAAAAATCAAGGAAGATCAGTAGAGGAAAGGGACCAAGGAGTGGGAGGTGCGGAGAGAAGGGAGAAGTGCTGGGGAGGGATACTGGCCATATGATATTGTTGTATTGTGTGCTTCTACGAGTATGTAACAATAAATCCCATCAATATGTACAACTAGAATGCACCAATAAAAACATGTGGGGGGAGGAGTTCATGGCTCTTCTTTATATACAGAATAAAGGACCTTCGCAATGGGACTCTATCATATTATTACAACCACATTCCCATCCACTCATTCTGCATCCCAAACAGAACTACTTGCAGCCCTCCAGTTTCCGCAGTCTGCCCCTTTACTTGGAATGCACTGGTAAACGCGTCACCCTTCATCATCCAACTCGAATATCTCTGCGAAATCTTCTGGACACCACGGTGTCCTCTCACACACATAGCATGGTTTACACCTTGCTGTTGACATAGTATTTCCAGTAGACCACGAACTTCGAACATTAACTGATCCCTTATTATATGTATCAGAGTCTCGGCCGGATATTGCAAAGAATGCAAGAGCGAGAACTCAGAATTCCTAGTCCATTTAATTTCTCCCCCTATTTCTTTTCGTCATCTGCCCCAGGCTCCTCAAGAACAGAAACCACCCACTACAGGGCCCGGAACATTACCCACCGTCCCTCCCCGCTGCACGAATGGAACCAGGAGCACGAAACCCCACTCACCGCAATCTCTGCAAAACTGAGGTGTGTTTGTTGGGCCAGAACCGAGGCTACTCCAAGGAGAGCCTCCGCTGATTCCGGGCCCCGCCTCTGGGACGTTGGGGTCGCGGGAACTGAGGCGGCAAACACTAGCTCGCGAAACCAAAGGGCGCGCTGCGCCTACTGACTGGTCAGAAGTCCGGCCAGTCAAGGAGCAGGGACGGTGCTGGAGGCGTCACGCAAAGCCGCCGCGACGTGCTGGTATGCCACCCAATCAGAGCCCAGAAACTGTTCCGCGCTCCACCAATCCCAAGGCTCTTTGGAGTACCGAGGGCGCCACCGGCGCTCCAGGAAGAGTACTCCGAAGATTTTAAACCTTCATTTTGTGAACGGTTAGGTTGGGGGGGCGGGGGCGGGGGCGGGAGTGGTTGCGCACGCGCAATCAAAAACCCTGCAGGCTGGCTGTGAGGCGAGAAAGCCGGAAGTGTTCGCCAGCCGGATCGTCACCCGGAAGGTCGTAGCCCTGTAACCTAAAAACGGATCCCACAACTTTTACTTGAATGGAGAAAAGAAAGGGGAAATTGGATTTCTTCCAGTTTCTTTTTAAAAGATCCTCTCCTCTCTATAGCAGATTTAAAAAATTTTCCCATTGAGCAGAAAAGAAAGTGATAAATTTATAAGCCATTTATACTTGCCTGAACAACTAATATCGTTATTATATATAGTACTGACCTTTCATGTTATAGGTAGTATTATAGTGGTAGGGTTATTTATAATTGTTTCCAAAGCTAATGTCGGTTTTCTTTTTTCTTTCTTTCTTTCTTTTCTTTCTCTCTCTCCCTCCCTCCCTCCCTCCCTTCCTTCCTTCCATCCTTCCTTCCTTCCTTCTCTTTCTTTCTTTCTTTCCTTTTGTGTGCGTGTGTGAGACTGGTTCTTTAAATTATCCAAGCTGGTTTGGGTTTCCAAGGCTCAAGTGGTCCACCCGCTTCAGTCTCTCCAACAGCACAGACTATAGACCTGTGTCACTCAGCCAGATTACTAATGTGATAATTGTGCCCTCGCTAGTATGGTGAGGGATTGGTTCCCAAACCCTTTCCCCCATTCCAAAATCTGAAGATGCACAAGTCCCTTATACAAAATGGTGTAGTGTTTGCATATAGTCTATGCACATCCTGTATATATGCTTTAAATCATCTCTAAATTAAATATAATACCTAGTACAATGTAAATTCTATGTAAGTTGTTATACTGTATTGTTTGGAATTAATGACAAAAGTTGAACATGGTCAGTACATGCAATTTTGTCTTCAGAATATTTTCAATCATTAGTTGTTTGAACTTATGCATGTGGAACCTGTGAATACCAAGGGCTAGCAGTACATGATTTCCTAACAGACAAAGTAGACAAATGTATTCAACAAGGGACAAAACATTAAAGATCCATTAATCTGTTAGTACAGAGTCAGAAGTATAAATGCCACATACTTTGCTGACTTAAGTTTTTTTTTGTTTGGCAGTACTGGGGATCAAATCCAGGGCCTTGAGTATTCTAAGCAAGCACTCTACCACTGAGCTACACTCCCAGTCCAAAACTCTACTTTTCTTAGTTTCCTGAATAACATGGGTATGTCTTCAAGTCTGAGCTACATCTGTATGCTATGCTGTGTGGAATAAACATCCACCCTTTTGCAAGAACACTCACCTAGAAAATGCATCAAGCCAGCCAAGAAATATATGCTTTATAAAGTATCATTCTCTGCTTTCCTGGAAAAGTTCCTGAAAACTAGGGAAAACATAAGTGTGTTCTTTTTTGTTGTGACAGCAGAAAGAGCCTTATGAATTTTTTTGTCAGACATCAGTGTATATCTGACAAACTGTTGGCCAAACCAGTGATGATCTCCAGAACAAGGACTGCCCGTTTGAGGAATCCTGTAATAGGCAGAATTGGCTAGGCCCCCCATTTTTTTTTTTTTTTGGTACTGGGGATTGAACCCAGGGTCACTTAACCACTGAGCCCCAGCCCCAGCCCTTTTTTATCTTTTATTTAGAGACAGGGTCTCACTGAGTTGCTTAGGGCTAAATTGCTGAGGCTGGCTTTGAACTCGCAATCCTCCAGAGCCACCGGGATTACAGGCATACTTCATTGCGCCTGGCGGCCCCAAACTCTTGATGTGCTGGATGACCATGTGTAGCTTCCCAAAAAGAACAAACACTAAAGATAAGGCAAATCCCAAAGGCAACAAGCAAGAGGCTATCGCCCAACTTCCTGTTTTGCAACTGATCAGCAAGTTCTTTTTAGAGAGAGATCTTATGTACACATCTCAGTGTTATGCCATGGGTATATGAAGTGCAAAGGTCCTGAGGTAGGAGCGTCCAGGCATCTTCAAGAAAAAGCAGGAGCCCAGTATATCTTGAGCAAAGCAAGTGAGGAAAAGTGTATTAAGAACTGAAGTGGGGGCCAGGGTTGTAGTTCAGTGGTAGAGCACTTGTCTAGCATGTGTGAGGCACTGAGTTCAATTCCAGGCACCACATACAAATAAAATAAAGATATTGAATCCATCTACAACTAAAAAAAAATTAAAAAAAAAGAACTGAGGTGGAGGGCCAGGGTTGTGGCTCAGTGGTAGAGTGCCTACCTAGCATGAGTGAGGCACTGGGTTCGATCCCAGGCACCACATTAAAAAAATTAAACAGGGGCTGGGATTGTGGCTTAGTAGTAGAGCGCTTGTCTAGCATGCACTAGGCACTGGGTTTGAGCCTCAGCACCACATAAATGTAAAATAAAGATAATGTGTTCACCTAAAACTTAAGAATAAGTATTTTTAAAAAAATAAATAAATAAAATAAAAGGCATTGTGTCTATCTACAACTAAAAAAAAAAAAAAAAGAATTGAGATGGGTCAGGCGGCTGGGGAGGCTGAGATGTATGTGTTCCTATGTCCCTGGTGGTCAGTGGTCACTCGGCTACCTCAGTCGCGGGGGTAAGGTGTCAAAGCAACACATGGACACCAGGAGCTGGTGAGAGCTGGCAGGTGACAACCTCAGTCCACGTCCAAGCAAGCTCGTTTATTTTTGGAATGCGTACAGCTGTTATAGGGTTCAGGGAGGGCGTGCCCACCAATCACACATAAGCACCTTAGCATCTATAAGCCAATCATCTTATGCCTAATGTAACCGCACTATGAGGAAGCACTAAATATTGCTGTCATGATGGAAGGCAGTCTGGAAGGGTCTTTGTCCCTAAGGGAGGGGGTTTATGAGTTGGGGGGGTTACATGCCCTGAAGCATTTGACTCTCAGGTTTCCTGACCTGGTAGTCTGGTAGCTTGGCAACGCTGACCACAAGTGCTGAGGATGTGGTTTCACAGATGGCTTGCTAGAGCAGAGTGCCCTGTCCTGCAGGTGTTCCTGTCAGGCCTGTACAAGTGTAGGTTTTCCTTGCACTGTGAGCGGCTCATAGCTACTAGCTGTGAACTGAAAGTTATTCCAACACTGAGGCAGGAGGATCATGAGTTCAAACCCAGCCTCAGCAATTTATCAAGGCCTAAGCAATTTAGCAAGACACTGTCTCAAAATAAAATATTTTAAAAACGCTGGGGATTGTCTCAGTGGTTAAGTGCCCTGGGTTCAATCCCCAGTACCAAAAAAAAAAAAAAAAAAAAAAAAAGAAAAGAAAGAGTTGAGATGGAGGTGATTAGTAGGGTTGACAGACTACAAATAGCTCTATAGACCATGATGAGGACTTGCCTGTACTCCTAAGTATGGCCATTGGAGAATGTAAATAGGGGACTGAAATGAACTGATTTTAGGTTTTAAAAGGATCATTAGTTGCTACATTGAAAATAATCTAGATGAGGGCAGAAGCAAGGAAACCAGTTAGAAAGTTGCTACAATACCCTAGGAGAGAGATTGATGATGGCTTGAACCAGAATGGTAGCAACAGAGAGGGGGAAAAGTTGTTGGGATTCTATTTTGAAGACAGACTCAGTAGGGTTTGATTACAGATTGAATTTAGGATGTAGAAGACAAGAACTCTGTGCAGGCCTCTCATGATTTATGCTACTTAATTTTTTAAAGCTATTTTAAGGTATGTGGAAAAGAAATGCAAGAATGATATGGATTATATAAAAAGGAAAGGATAATGGGCTGGGGATGTGGCTCAAGAGGTAACACGCTCACCTGGCATGCGCGGGGCACTGGGTTCGATCCTCAGCACCACATAAAAAATAAAATAAAGGGCTGGGATGTAGCTCAGTGGCAAAGCGACTGCCTTGCATTTGCAAAGCCCTGGGTTCGACCCCCAGTTCCAAAAAAGACAAAAAAAAGAACCCCAACAACAACAAAATATTAAAAAAAAATAAAAAATAAAATAAAGATGTTGTGTCCACTGAAAACTGAAAAATAAATATTTTAAAAAAGAAAAGGATAAGCATAACATATAATTCTCCATTCCTTAGGTGTTGGCTGCACATAAAGACATTCTCTCAAAGTGTACAATATGGAAAGGGAGAAGGTGAAAAGTGGGTGGGAAGGGTATAAAGGTAACTTTACAATGAAGAAACCTAACACTCCTTTCTCCAGTTAATCAATAGTCCTAAGTCATGTTGGTAGTATGTATGCTTAATATGATGTGATTTTATTTATTTTTTTCAAATTCTTTTTTAAATTTGTATGACAGCAAAATGGATTACAATTTTTATTACACATATAGAGCACAATTTTTCATATCTCTGGTTGTATACAAAGTATAGTCATACCAACTCATGTATTCATACATGTATTTTGGATAATAATGCCCATCACATTCCATCACCATTAACCCCATGCCCCCTCCCTTCCCCTCCATTCCTCCCATGCTCCTCCTCCCTACCCCACTATGAATCAGCCTCCTTATATCAGAGAAAACATTCGGCATTTGGTTTTGGGGATTGGCTAACTTCACTTAGCATTATCTTCTCTAACTCCATCCATTTACCTGCAAATGCCATGATTTTATTCTCTTTTATTGCTGAGTAATATTCCATTGTGTATATATGCCACTTTTTTTTTTATCCATTCATCTATTGAATAGCATCTATGTTGGTTCCACAGTTTAGCTATTGTGAATTGTGATTTTTTAAAAAAATATTTATTTTTTTTTAGTTGTAGTTGGACACAATACCTTTATTTATTTGTTTTTATGTGGTGCTGAGGATCGAACC